CATACCATACCATACCATACCATACCATACCATACCATACCATACCATACCATACCATACCATTTTATTTATAGAGCACTTAAAATAGCAACAAGACCAACCAAAGTGCTACAGGAGAAACAAACAAGTAAAACACACAGTAAAAAATTTATAGATCCAAAAGGAAAAAGATAATAACAAATGGCTAACACGATAGAACACAGACAGGTTTAAAACAAATCATACAGTGCCAAAAGCCAGGGAATAAAAGTTGTTTTTTAAGCAAGACTTAAAAAGCATAAGGGAGGGGACCTGCCTGACATGTAGTGGTAACTCATTCCACAGTCTTGGACCTGCAACAGAGAAGGCCCTGTCACCTCTGAGTTTAAGACGGGCTCCTGGAACCAATAGAAGCATCTGATCTGCTGACGAGCGCTGTGGGACATATGACTGCAGCAGATCAGTGAGATAAGAGGAGGCAGAACTGTTCAGAAATTTAAAAACATACATGAACTGAATTTGAAAGTGAACCAGGAGCCAGTGCAGGGAAGCCCAAACTGGTGTAATGTGTTCTCTTTTGCCTGTACCAGTTAAAAATCGGGATGTAGCATTTTGGACCAGTTGTAAACGTGCAATGGAGGTCTGACAGATTTCAAACAGAAGTGCATTGCAGTAATTGAGCCTGGATGTTATGAACGCATGTATTACTGTCTCAAGGTTATTTTTGGAGAGTATGGGCTTCAGTCGCTTCAACTGAAACCCCCCCCCCCCCAAAAAAACAGGATTTAACAATCATGTTTACATGACTGTTAAGTTTCATGGAAGGGTCCATTATCACTCCCAGACTAGTGACTCTTTATTTCTCTAGCGGGGCTAGAGAGGAAAGGTCGAGGCAGTTCTTGATTGTGTCATTAGGAGGGAACAGCATGACTTCAGACTTCTTCACATTAAAACGTAAGAAATTTAAAACCATCCAGTTCCTGATGTCGGCCAGGCAGTCAAGAAGAGGTTGAATATAATGTGAACTGGTATGCTTCAGAAGGAAGTAGATTTGACAGTCATCGGTTAAGAAATGATATGACATGTTTACAAAAAATAGCACCTAGTGGCAGCAGGTATAAAGAAAAGTGAAGAAGACCAAGAACAGACCCCTGAGGTACACCCCCCCCCCCCCCCCCCACAAACGAAGTGTTGCCAATGCTGAACTAAAATCTTTGATGTTGATACAAAAGGGTCTGTCAGAGAGGTAGGAAACCATTTGAGGACTTTCACTTTCCTTGCAGGAGTTTCAGAGGCTCACAGACGTGTTGAATTTTCAACATGATCCTAAAGGTCATGCTAAATGTCAAAAGAGTTGAAGAGTTGCTTCAAGCATCTCAAACTCATCCAAAACCCTTACCAATAAATTTTCTGTAAACTTCAGAGTACAAGATCAGTTGACACCTGCATGGGAGCTCTCCTTAATAAAGAAAACACCTGAGGCTACAGCCACGCATGTCCAGATCTAAAAACCACACAGATGATAAATAATAAATAGAGAAATTGCATTTCCTGTGAAAATGCTGTGTAAATGCTTATTTCAGGAGAACTCGCTGAAAAACAGCTGAAATTAGCTAAAGACAGGCTGAAATGTAACTGAAATGGAAGAACAAGCTAAAGTTAGCAGAAGAAAGCAGAAAGAACACCTATTTGCTGAATAAGGTTTAAATAAACAGAAATGAGCAAACAAATTAGCTGAATAGTAGCTAATAAAGCATAAAGAAGCTCAAATTAGCAGAAGGAAGTGGAGAGAGCAATTGCACCCAATTAGGCTGAAAGAAGCAGAAATGAGCACAACAAAGTGGAAATTATCTGAAAAAAGCAGAATTTCACAAAACCAGCTGAATAGTACCTAAAGAAGAAGGAAGAAGTTTAAATTATCAGAAGTAGGCAGAAAGAGCACAAGCTTGCCCAATTAGTCTAAAAAAAGCAGAAATGAGCACAAAAAAGTGGAAATTATCTGAAGAAAGCAGAAATGAGCAGAAAACAGCTAAACAGTAGCCAAAGAAGCAGAAAAAAGCTTACATTAGCAGCATGAAGTAGGGAGAACATGATTTTGCTGTATTAGGCTGAAAAAAAGTTTAAATGAGTTCAAAAAGTGGGGAGTAAGCTGAAAAAGCAGAAATGAGCATAAAATAGCTAAATAGTAGCTGAAATAGCTGAAAATTGCAGAAGTAAGCTAAAAGAAGCATAAAAATCTGAAATTAGATTTATTAGAACATTGCTTCAAATCCACCTGTCTGATTTCAAACATGGATGGATCCGACTACTAACTAACCAAGGTGGTTACAATGTTAGTGGAGGTGGAGATGAAATAATGTGCACAATCTAGAATAAAGTTTTTAATGCGCAAAACAGGCTCGGATTTTCAAAATAAAGCAGCGCAGCTCTTTGATCCAACTAAAAATTTACATGGGATGGTTACATTACATTTACATTCATTAAAATTACAAAATGTGATTTTTTTGGTAATTCTTTCCTAACCAAAATAAATGATTTATATAAAGCAAATATAAAACCCCACAGGACTAGACATGTCTTATAATTTGCATAATATTAGAGAACACTTGCTGTAGCTTCTAAAACAGTGATGGCCCACTTTATGAATCAAAAATGTGTTGAAATTAAGCTCCGAGTAGAAAATGTCTGTTTTATGGTGCGGTGCTTTAATGTCTTGGCTCAGTTTCAACACACGACTCTCGAACATGCATCAGTAACATCGGTTCATAATGAAAGTGTAGACAAAACAAACACAACAGTTTTGTAACTGTTTGCTCACTTGCTAATCTGCACATTGTTAACACTATTTAACATGTTGAACACTGAAGGCTCATTTGCAGGAGTGAAAAGTGTCGCCTCAAAACGCCTGCGGAGGAACGGGCTGAAGCGGAGTCAAGAGTATCACTCCTCGAACCAGCTCTGAAGAAAATAACTCAAACGACAGTTTTAAGAGGGCTTTGGTACTGTAATCCTGTTGTATTCAGACCAAATCACATAGACGTTTCATTAAGACATCAAAAAAATTGCATCAACTTGTAAAAAAAAAAGAAAAAGTGGGGGGGGTGGGAGGGGGCGGGGTTAAGAGAAGAGTTTGTTCAGTTGGTTAAGGCAGCAATGGCTTGAAAGTAAATGTTTAAACGATGTGAAATGAAAAATTGCTGCGTGCGGGAGCGGAGCAGACAAGCGTAAAACGCTGCGCTGTCAAGTGGAATATTAAGGCATAAAGCAGACAACCTTGACAACTTCTGAAATAAAATTTAATATGTGCCGGGGATGCACACGCGTGAGCTAGATTACTGCCAGTGTCAAGAGCGAGATTCGAAGACACAACACGACAACGGCCATGAAGCAGTTGACACAACAGACGCGTGTCTCCTTTGGGTTAAAGGCAGTGATGTGAGAGGGCAGACGCTGACAGACATTAAAGATGCAGCCATGTGAATATATGGGGGTGTGGGGGCATTGATCCCACACTTTGAATTATTTAGGAGCACTGTATTTTCCTCCTCGCTTCGTCTGTCTAATTTATCCTTCATTACTTCAGGCTTTCAAACATCCCATAGGGAGCCTGCTCACACCTTCCCCTTCATTAGCAAACAGTGTGGGACCAGATTTGACTTCTTCAAAGAGAAGCAGCTGCTTGAGGGCTTTTGATGCCTTTCTTGGCCTCTTTGGACACGGAGATTGTTTTTATGCAACTCCCTCCAGAACATTCCACCACAACGGGCACACGAATTTGGATAAAAACAGCCTTTTTGCGCCGTGACAATACAAGACGCTGAACCTGCAACACAGACGATTGATTATTCCTCTGACCGTGACCTTGTCTGTGTACAAGTTTCTCACAGTGACATTCCTCTTATCTAATGTTTACCTCAACATTAGCAACGAGACGGACCACCAACATCCTGCCGACAGGACTTAATGTTGTGATAACTTTCACAGCACTGCCGCAGAGGCGAAAGGCCAGAGAGAAATAACCGTCTCTGACCCACAAGCTCTCTGTTTAAAGCAGGGATGGACAGACAAAGAGCACAGGCAGATGCTCGTGAATACTAATCAGCTAGTATTGTGCCGTCCCTTTATAGAGTTTTGTGCCTCCACAAACAGAATATAAATGAGTTAGGAGGAAAGGACGGATCAAATCAGCTTCTGGACTTCTCAGAACTGACAATACATGATATGTTCTTGACAGTGTTATCAGTAAGACATCAATTATGAAGAAGAAACAAGGTTTTTTTTTTTTGGAACTGGACAAAAGAAAATAAATGTAATGCTCAGTCGAATACCAGAACAGTGAGCAAGACAGATGGCAGACTCACCGGGTGTAGATGCCATTTTTGCGGCAGAAGGAGTTTTTCCCAGAAAGGCGTCTGTTGTTAAGCTCCAAGGCAGGGAAGCGTCCCTCATCGAGGCGTACCATTTCTCCGTGGGTCAGTGGCAGTGCAGTGCAGTTAGAGTGATTGCCTGAACAGAAGTGAATTTAATGTTTCTTGCTGTCCAATCAAATCTATCCAGCAATCAAATAATCCATTTTAAGTTTCAAGCTGTGTATGTGTCACAGACCCTGAAATATTCTCAATATTCAAGGTCAAGGTTTCTTTACTGTCATTCTCATCACATGTGGTACATGTGATGGAACAAAATTGTGTACACAGGGTCCCATTTTGTAAAGAAGAACAGTAATAAGATCTAAGATAAAAACTAAGAAATACATTAAGCACTACTAGTACAAACAACAGAGCTATCTGACAAATAAGATAAAAACTGTTCATGAACTTTCCACAGAAAAGATCTGAACTATCACTTTAAGGATGAGTAAACAAGAATTTATGAATTAAAGCCTAGCGTTCTTTGAAGTAATGTATATTAGCTGCTTCCTTTCATACCAAAGCTTCATACTAAGACCTGAGTTGTTAAATTATGGCGTTGTAGCAGTGGTATATTTTTGTAGTGGGTATACTGCGGTAAAGTTAGTTTTTACGTGGGACGTTGGGAGACCGCTGAAGCCACGGAGCGCCAATGTCCAACATCCAACGTAAAACTAACTTTACCGTGGTCGGTCCCTATACTGTGCTTAGAAACCAAAGTACACTGGTTAGTACAATGTAATCGTGAATTTATTTTGATTTTTAAGCATATGGAACATTTCCAGATTTCTCTGATGCTTATATTTGAATAAAATGAACAAGAAACTTTGTACAACAGTTGGCTTTGTATTAAAAACGTTACAGAATTTATGAAACAGTATCAAAGCAAAACATGTTCAAGTTTTAAGTAGTAAGTACACAAGTATTAATTATATAAATAATTCACTGGATAGGCGGATGTAATAAACAAGCGCTGAATACCGATATATTTTTACGGAAGAGTCATGAAGGACCCCACTCACCCAGCACACACTTTTTGCCCCCTCCCCTCAGGAAGGAGGTTAAGTAGCATTAAGTGTAGAACCACTAGACTGAGGAACAGCTTCTACCCTGAGGCTGTTAGGCTCAGGATTGTCTAATCAGGATAATCACTGTGAAAAATTCACATCATGCTGCTGATCTATTTCATGTTGCTGCTGATCTATTTCATGTTGCTGTGTTCATTTGTGCTCATCTGCTCACACAGACTCATGTTCGTGCTGCTGTTCAACGTAATGTTTTTATGCTATTAGTGCTTAGAGTATTTTTAGTTGATGTTTTTCTTAGTTCATATCTTAGATCTTATTATTGGTTGTCTTTTATATTTTATTGTTGGATGTAACTGGGACCCTGCGTACATAATCTCGTTCCACCACATGAACCACATGTGATGCGAATGACAAATAAAGAAACTCTGACTCTGACTGCCATGTAACATATCAATGACACGTGCCTAATGATATGTCATGTATCAATGAAGTGGGTATACTGAAATTCTTGAGCTTTTCTAGTGGGTATACTCCATATACCCACATATCACGTAGACTACACCACTGCGTTGTAGTCACTGTGGCTGAATGTTATAAATAATTAGATTTTAGTTCAGTCTCTGTGAAACTGACCAAATTACCACCGTTATTTGTGTTTGATAAGATGAGATGGCTTTGACAGCCATCTTGTGTTAGATTGATCCCTAAAGTCTATCAGTTGTAGATGTAAATCCAACGATTGGTTTCTGAAACTTTCAATAGCATCCATCTAGTTGGTTGTGAGGTTTTTTTTGCTAACAGACAGACAGAGCTGTCTACAAATACAGTACGTACATCCATTCTAGGTTTCATTTAAATTTGTCCAGTGGTTGATAAGAGGGAGTAGTAAAATAGTCTCTTTATGCTCTAACAAAAATATTTCTGCCTTTTAAAAAAAAAACAAGCTCTGTTTTATTTTATTCTTGATGGCAATGGCTACACAAAATGTGGGGGTTTTTTTCAGTCCCTGTCTTATCTGTTTAACTAATGTGCCACTTCCACAACAAACTTCATGACTGCAACCCGCCAAAGAATTGAGCCCCATATTTATAATATTATTACTGACAGACCATTACTAATTAACAATAACAATAAAACGTCTACTGACACTGATAAATGTCTTCTTGCGTGAAAAATGGGTTTCTGGGAGCAGTGGTCTCCACTGGTTTAATTGACAGCTTTGCAAAGTCCCCTCCTTAATACAATGCTATGGGAGCCACTTGTACTGCGGTTATATAATTACTCTCAATCTAATTAATGGCCTCAGCATTAAAGTGTCTGCCAAGCCATTTATTCTGCTATTGATCCTAACTGCAATTCAAGTCGGACGATAATATTTGTCTACTTCAGCTCCCTTAGCGATAACCTTTACTCTCATCTTTTGCCTGTCAGCCAGACAATGTCGGAAAATCTAGATAATTTGTTTAATTGCGTGTGTCTTTACACTCCTGTTCTGCGAAATGGACTGCAGTCGCACAATCATTTAACCTCAATTTTTGGCTGATTTGCCCAAAGAGAAAAAAATTACATGCGGCATCTTAAATTGCACAAACAGACTGACTAAAAATGTTTAAAGGATAATCCGGTCACTTTTAAAGTCTGTGAAATAGTTATCAATAGTTAGTACCTAATCAGCCGTGACATCAATCACAGAAAACAGAGTTTAAAGAAAGGAGCACTTCCTCCAGGCCAGGCTAACAGCTACCCATAAAAAAGGCCTGTTTTATGATCGTTTTTCAAGCATATAAAACCTCCCCCCCCCTTTTTTTTGGGAAAGAATTCTGCATTTGCTAACATTAGATCAAACATCATTCTTGTTATTAAGCAAATTTACTGCATTCGCTGAGCATAGACCATGTTTAGCATGTTGTTGATGCTGAGGCTGTTGGTTGTATCAGTCTGTCTGAGCTGCACATTTAATCAGTCAAAAATGTACTCGACTCTTGGCGGACTCAAACATTCAGCAGCGTCAGAACATATTTAAATGGTCTATGCCAGGGGTCTTCAACCTGCGGCTCTGGGGCCACATGCGGCTCTTTAGTATCTCATCTGTGGCCCTTTGAAGCTTTGACCAAAATTAACGTGATACTGTGTTTACTTTTTTTCCTTTCTACGTACAACAGAAAATGTAAGTTTTATCAGGTTTTTTTTTTTTTTTGTGTATGTCAATTTTCTGTAAATTTGTGAAAGATAATGCTAATACAAGGAGCAAAATGAGCTGATTACATTTAACTACGTCATTCATCCAACCTCCAAGCTTACTGTGGGATCTTTCTCTCAACAAAATAATTAAAAAAAAAGTAAAAATCAATAACTTGTCCAGAAAAATGCAACATTTTTCTGCATACTTTAAATTGATGTTTTATTTACAACAGAGCTTTACGGCCACAATAAGAAAAACTAAATTTCATTGCCACACTGAGAAAAAAAAAACAAAAACGTAAAATTACGAGAATAAAGTCGTACAAGACTTTTTTTTTTTAACAACTTGTTGTTTTTTTCCACGAGTCAGATGCACAAGGTGACCTGTCAATCAATCCGGTAGGCGTGTCAGCAAATGACCAATCCGAAGCTAAATGCTCCTATAAGTGAGTCGCTGGGTCTTTTCAGCCTCTTTCTGGCATATTTATTGAAGATCTCTAACAGCGTGGCACTCACACAGTTTCGTTCAATGAGCGCCGTTTTCAAATGAAAACATAAACGAAAGTCGTGACGTAATGACGTCACGTATATGCATCCCAGAAGCAGCATACAAAAACACAACAGCAGGTGGCAGTTTTGGAACAAGTTTTGAATAAGAGCATTTATAACAATAAAGTTTAACAAACATTCTTCATTTTACCACAGCTAAAATGCAATAAACCTTGCTTTATCGTGTCGGAGTTTGGATAATATTACGACTCATTTAGCTTCGGATTGTTCGTTTGCTGACATGCCTACTGGATTGATTGACTGGTCGCGTTGTGGATCTGACTCGTGGAAAAAAAAAATTAACAACAGCTGTTAAAAAAAAAGTCTCGTACGACTTTATTCTCATAATTTTATGGCTTTTAATTATTTTTGTTTTTAGCATGGCAATGCAATTTTTTTTACCGTGGCCCTAAAGCTCTGTCGTATTTATTACTTCAAAGTGGTATACTTAATTTTAAGTCCCCCCCCCCCCCCCAAAAAAAAAAACACTCACATAAACCTGCAGAAACTCGGTAAAAACAAATTTTTCCGCTATACTTTTGGTTTTCCTTTTACCCTAAAATGTAAAAATATCAATAAATGTAAAAATTCATGGCCAGAAAAGCTCTCCTCCAACGACCTCTAAATGGCCCACGGGCCACCAGTTGAAAAGCAGGTTTTGCGGCTCCAGACAAAATGTATTTAGTGAGCGAAGTGGAAGAAATGGCTTTTTCATTCAAAAAGATTGCATTCCTCTTGCCTATGCTTAGCACATATACCTCTGCTTGGTAACAGACGTACGACTGAGAAAACAGTGACAAACTAAACAAACAGTGTCATGCAAAAGTGTAGAGGTGTAATGTTTTCTAATGTAGTATTCTTTTACACCAGTACCGTATTTTCCGCCATACACATCGCTCCACCCTATAAGTTGCATCAGTCCAAGTAATGTCTTATAAAGTGGAAAAATCCATAAAGCTGATTGTGTCAACAGCCACTTTTACCTATTACATGATACAATGGCAGGCCACACAAATTGAGTGCCATCTAATGGCTGAAAATGGTAGTGTTCAATATTTTCAGACAGAATGAATGAAAACGGTCATATCTCAGCCAAAAATTTGTTTATAAATATGGGAAAAAATCCATAAATACATCACTTCGACCTGTAAGTTGCAGGGCATGCAAATTATGCAAAAAAATGTGACTTAAAGAGCGAAAAATATGGTATGTCATGTTTGAAAAACAGCTGTTTTACAATACTGACAAATGGGACCTTGTTTGAATAGCCATTAGCATATCCAGGACAAAAACTTTTCATCGTATTCTGTGACTGATGTCGCGGCAGATATTCTAACTACTGATAACTGACAGAAAATCACTTCAAAAATAACCAGACTATATCCTTTTAAGACAATTAGGGCATGCTTCCTACCTGAGTCGGCTTTTTTGGTGTATTTTTTACTCTGGCCTCTAATAATGAGGATGAAAATCAGCAGAAGAATGAAGATGAGGCCAACCAAGGCAATGACGACCAAGAACCACCACTCCTCGTAGAAGGGAGACACTTTCTGAGCTGAAAACACAGAATTTGAAGGATAGTAACACTTAAACACATAAAATACTTAATTAAAAAGCAGAACTGGGCAAGATCCTAACCTGATATAGAAGGAGATGGGGCACTGGGAGACCCATAGCCATAATCATTGACTGCAATTACTCGAAAGTCATAGGTGACCCCTTCTCGGAGCATGTCCAAATTAAGTGTGTAGGATGTCACTTCTTTGGGAATATCTTTAATAAGAATATCCCACAAGCCTTCATCTGTGTGGACAAAATGAGCAAGTCTACACGTAAAAGAGCTGCATGCTGGCTAGACTATGTAAAATGAGATAAGTCAGGAACATTTGGCTCACCAGAGGGTCTGGCCTCAATCACGTATCGCGTAATGGGTGCGCGACCTTGATCCCCACTCGTCCAGTGCAGTGTGAGGGCAGCGCCGTGTCGTGAAATAAAGGGTTCTCCAGGAGGGCCTGGGGCTCCTGAGAAGATAAAAATAGGGAGTGAAAAACATCGCATACAAAAAACTCCTACGTGACATAAAAGAGAAAAATCAGCCTCCCAGCTTTCCTACCTTCTCCAGGCCCGGTGGTGATGTTGGCCTCAATCTCCGGACCATAAGTGAGCGTTTTAGCCCGGATGCGAAAGTTATAGGTGACGCCATCAGCCAGATCTTTGATCTTCATCCACAAAGGAGTGCTGCCCTTCACATCTACAGTCACTATCTTACTGACACCTGGAGTGCGAGGAGAGGAGTCTGTACAGGAAACACTAAGACTCTAGATATTGCTTGCTACAAGCGACAAATAAGCAGGCTTTGTGCAGAAGCAGGCAAAGACACACAAAAGCAAGAAGAGAAATAGATATATTTGCACAAGAAAAAAGCAAAACATATTTTTGTTCCCAGAAACCTTTTGGCTGGTAAAACAGGAATAGACCAGCTGATATTTATATGTTTATTTCTTTGCCTGTTTTGCGTGGTGCCGGCTAGCCCAGGGACCTCAGCAGCCTCAGTTCAGCATTCCTCATCTGCTCTCAATTTCTCAACAATCTGGTCATGGCAGCAACATTTAGCCAGCTATTAACCATGTTTCTCTCAGCAAGAGTGGAAGCTGTGCACAGTCTCACCAGGGCATTCCAGCATAATTTATCAGTGTGCCATATATGTTACTGCAGGGCCTATGCCCATCTGCAACAAATTAGAACACAAGCTAAAGCAGCAGGAGTTAAAAAAGAGTGTGGTGAGGAGGTTAGGGGCTCTAAATCACTGTCAGAGAACTGTCAGGACACGAGAGGGTAGTTAGGCTGCAGGCAGAGTTTCTCACCATCGATCGGAGTGCAGGGCTCGTAAACCAGGCGGTAGCCTTCGATGATACCGTTGGCCTGCTTGGGCTCTCCCCAGGACACGTTGACCGAGGTGGTGGTCAGCTCACTGAAGTGGATGAAGCTGGGAGCAGTTGGGGCTTTTAGCGGAGAAAAGAGACGAGGATATGATGACAGATCTATCATAAGTAGCACAAGAGCAGGATGCACAGCAGCTAACCAGCCCCTGCTCTACGTTAGAAAATATTTTCTCTAAAAATGACTTCATATGATTTTAACAAAGATTATATTCATCATCACTAGTAGAAACTTTGAATACAAAAGGAACACACCACATCTGCATTTGCCTTTAATATTTTAAACTAACTATGTATGTTTGTTAGCAAAACATCTCATGAACCGCTGGATGGACTTCAATAAAACTTTCAAAAAGTAATCACTAGGTTGGAATAAAAAACTGACCAACTTTTTGCTTCAGCCCATTTCAAGTTGGCCCTCACAGCCAAGTGACATTAGAAATGACTAGAATGGCTACAACCCAGCCCATTTTACACATATTAGGTTAAAATTTGTTGTGGTAGTAGCTGAGAACTGTACACAACACAAACTTTGAGCGCAACACATCACATGGTATTTTTCGCTTAAAACTTTGGCATTAACATTTAGAGTCATCACTGTTTGTCTGTTAACAGCTGATGGATTTCAATCAAACGCTCAGAAAATCAATGTTCATACTCAATAATCCAGGTAGAAAATCCAACAAAGTTCAGTCATGTCTTTTTTTTTTAGATGTTTCAGCCTTCATCCAAAGGACTTCATCAATTCAAGGAGCCACAAACCACTTTTTGAACCACTTTGGTTGTGGTTCAGAGGAGTTGACGGGGGACAGGGCCAGCCCCAGAAACCATCTTATCACCAGCAAACTGGTTGGTCCACTGTGTGGGTGTGGGGCTTGTGGGACTCAGTTTTAGTGACTCCTCGGACTGATGAAATCCTTTGGATGAAGGATGAAACATCTCAACAAAAAAGAAACCGTCCAGATAACCTGACTGAACTTTGTTGGAAACTCTCAGAAAGTTTACATCTACAACTGAATGATCCTTTGAGTCAGCCTAATTCAAGATGGCTGCCTCAGTTAAATACATAACTCTTCTACGAGTTTTATAGATATTGTGCTAAAAATTGCATGGTTGGCAGTCATTCATATTTGTTTATAATTTGATGTTAAACATTAGATAATCCACATTAAATTGTTGTTTTTATAAAAAGGGATTGCTCAATAAAAAAAAGGAAAGAAGAATGTTGCAGAAATGTTTGGCCATAGGGCGCTTTTACCAGAAAAAATTAGACAGAGAAGTTGCCAAAATCACTTTGTGACCTCTAAACAAGAGCTGTGAGAATTCTGACTGCTGACCCGGCCCAGATTCAGCTCAGTGTCAGGACTTAGCCATAATTCTGCATAAAAACATCACAAAAGCTTGTGTTGGCTCAATTCCCAGTGTTCTGCAGTGCAACGAGCCAAAATTCCTGCTTGTGTTTTTAAGTCCTCATCACTTTTTAGCCTTTGCTAATGTCATAACCTTCAAGGGTGCAGAAAATAACAGGCATTTATACTGAAAACCACTTTTGTCCAAAACTCACAGAAGTGTGACACTGTGGCCAAATAACTCCTATTTATTTGTTCCTCGCACTTTGTGTTTCTAAGTCATCCTTTGCACCCTTGAGGATCATCCTAAGGATGTCTGATCTCTTGTCAAGGGTTGAACTAAAATTCCCCAAAATATTTTTATTTTTCTGCTGTAAACTTGAAGCTGTTCAGTTTGTCATTTTATAGTAATTTAAGGTGGTGGATCAAATTTTGGGACTGATTAACTGTCATGAACAACATATGAGTGACTCTTAGAGAAAGTATCACTAAAAATGTGGGAGTTGGTAAAGGATTAAACAGGTATCAGGGTGAAAACTGTTTCTGAAGCAAAACAAACGCCAGTGGTCTTTTTTAAAAGGCTCTTAGCCACATCTGGAATTTGCACCTGCTTGCTGAGTGCGCCCTCTGGTGGTCAGGGAGCGGGGCCCATCCCCTGCAGCGTTGAAGGCTGCCACACTGATCATGTAGGTGGTGTAGCCTGTCAGGTTTTTAAGCTTCACTCCGAGCTCTGGCAGGAACAGAGTTCGAACTCGCTCCGTCTCATTTTGCAGCTGAAACTCCCAGAAGTAGATCTACACCCAAACAAACAACAACAAAAAAGGACAGAATGCAGAATTTGTGTACAATTCTATACACATTTTACAAAAATGAGAAACAAGCTGCAAGTTTAGCTCAAACTGGTACAATGTGGAAACCTTGTAGCCTTGGATGTCTCCATTCTGAGCATCTAGTGGAGGTGGGTCCCAGGTAACATCTAACTGAGTCGCTGTTGATGACTGGATCACTACATTTTGTGGAGGGGCTGTTGGGACTAGACAAACAAGGACTTGTTTAGATTCATTCATTCATTCACGTTTATTTGATAAAGGACAACACAATAAACAACGTTACATGATAAAAACAAAGCAACCGTTGTTTTGTACGAAGGTTTTCTAGCCACAGGCTAATTTGCAAACCCAGTCCTTGGTTGGACTTTTATATAAAACAGCTAAAATAAAATTTAAATTTAATTAAAATTAAACAGTTCCCTCACACACATGGCCTGATCCTCCATCCCCATGGGGCTCAGTGTTCAAAGATTTGGTTTTGTTTCAGCCATTTTTTCACCTGGGAATTAAAAACTAAAAAAAAAAAAAGATCTGTTAATGTTTTTATTGCTGATGGTAAATTGTTCCAGATATGAGGGCCTTTAAATGAGCAGGAACATTGACCAAATGATGTTTTGTTTTCTGCAGGTTTGCACTCTCCATCAACTGCACCTCTTGTTGCAAGTCCTGAGCTGCTGACTTTTAAAATCATTCTGCTAACTGAGACAAGACCATTAATGCATTTAAATGTCAGTTTTAAACAAGAAAATAATAAAAAATAATGTCAAAGCTGCTCTTGCTGAGGGCGGATGCTTTTCCCCACCTCTCCATCCTCCGCTTTGCTTTGCTGCTCTGTCCTGTCTGTGAAACTGCTTCTGAGCCTCTCTCTACATATCTTCTGAACCATAATTTTGTGGATCTGGTCAGTTGGTCTCTCAACGTAATGGACAAAAACTTTGAGACAAGCTTCAGACAAGCTGGACTGCCCAGATGACACGTTCTGCTGTCGACCGAGGACGCCAAAACTGCATATAACTGGATTTATGATAACAGGTTTCCTGTTTTTGGAATTGTCTGGTTCCTGTATCCTGATGCATGCTCAATAATCCAGGTAGATTAGGGTGATTAGGGTAGATTAGATTAGGGTATGGTGTCTGGTTCCTGGTTTATCAACAAACAAAGAAGACGGCCACAGCTAATCTGGCCTGGTCAGGCTGCCGCTAATGTGAAAGTTTGCTCGTGTCACGTGCACCCAGACTCTGTTGCTTAGAGGACTGGATCACAAATTGGATGTGATTTGTGAGAATCGCAGGTAATATGCGGCCCCTAGAACTCGCTGGCAGGATGGATCACATCTCGGGGAATATTCTCAGGCATGAACCAGTGGTGTGTCCACTTAATTTGGACGTTTTGGAATCTATGTGAGACCAACAAAGACTCAAAGCAGACAAAAATTAGAGTTTTGCCTGACTTCATAACAAATGTTGTTTATCTGAATTTGGCTCCCTTGGCTGGCCTTGCAGGCCACCTTATCTCAATTCACCAGGAGTCCATGTAATCTGACGCTCTGCCCCCCTCCCTCCCATCGAGTAATTCCACTGATCAACCTGAAGAAACCAGCTAAATAAACATTGTGTTATCATTTCAGGACTCTTGGATTCTCATTGGTGTTGTCCTTGGCCATTCCCCGAAATCCCTCGAGAATGTTTACGGATCTTACCGGAGGGAACTGGCTGATTATTGCATCCTTATCAGAACTCCTACAGTGCCCCCGAGAGCGGCCTTGAACATCCTCACCGCGGAATGTCTACGTCACCATGTGCTTGTATCTGCGGGGTGTTCTTTTCATTATCAGGGTCTTTTTTCTCAGCCGAGAAGAAAGAGTTTGATAGGAATTGTTTTTGCCTCCAATTCGCACGTGTCCAGTTTTTTTTTTTTTTTTTTTTTGTCTGTCTAAACATGTCTCATTTGTAAATGATTCTGCGAGGCTCAAAATGATTTATCTGTCTAAATAAAGGTTGAATTGAACTGAATTGGGAAAAAAATATTTCTCCAGTATTTTACTGTGGGGCTCTTTTAATGGTTTTTGGTCTAAAACTTTCAGTGTTGTGAATACAACATCCTCATAGGTTTTAAAGCAGATTTAGTTGCTTGGCTCCAGACAGTGACAGTATGAGAAATGAGCCAGAATTATGGCGTATATAACTGAGCAGATTTTCCATATAAATATAATCTTATAAGAAGAAAATAATTTGTTTGTCTTAATGGTTTTAAACACTTTCCTAATGTGAGCCTCAAAGTAAAAGTGGGAATCTAGAATGACACCCAGATATTTAAACTCCTCCACTTTTTGGATTTCTCTCTGATCAATCACAATTGAAAAGTTATTACAGACTTTACGCCGGATTGTGAAACACATTGATACTGTTTTATTGCCGTTTAGAGACAAACAGTGATTCTTAAACCACAGAGACACTCCCTCCATCTCCCTGTTCAGTAACCCTGCTGCCTGTTGTGGAGTCTTTGCAAATACGTACAGTATATGATGGCATCATCTGCATACATCTGACATTTAGCGTATTTGCAACTGTCCGGTAGGTCGTTGATATATAAACAGAAAAGCAGTGGTCCTAAGATGGAACCTTGTGGAACTCCCATTATACATTTTTGAAGGCTAGATTTCATTCCATTAACTTTGATGCACTGTTCACTATTTTTAGATATGAGTTAAACCAATTAATAGCTAACTTGGATAAGTTATACTTACTAAGTTTATGTCATGAAAAGCATGATGAGCAAATGAGCATGAAATACAACTTAATCATGGTTGAACTTGTCTTATTTGTCGAACACTTAAGCAATAAAGATTAGAAGTACGCTACAGATGCTACTAATTGAGAAACAAAACATACCCGCCTCTCCGACAAATACTTCCTGTGGAGCGCTGCTTGGACCTTCACCCACAGCGTTATACACACTGAGACGGATCTCATAGCGCTTGTGTTTACTCAAATCTGCAAGCAGAGAATACATCGCAGCATTGTAGCCGAAGAGTTCAGATAAAAGAGCAACAAAGAAAAAAGATCCCCCCAAAAGGCACACAGTCACTAAGATACCCATGGCAAGACAACATCATACAGTAAAAAAAAAAAAAAAAAAAAACAACAGGGAGGGTTTGGAAGACAAATACAAACTGATGAAAAGATTGGGTTGTTGTGGGAGCACGTGGGAAGATTTGTCAGTGATTAAAAAGAAGGAAAGCACAGAGGGGGAAAATGACAGGGCAGCTCGGAGAGATTAAAGTCATATGCACACAATGAGAATATGCAGTGGCTGCAGCTGAGTGGGAGGATGGAGCTCGGCACACTGTCGCTGTAAAATCTTATACAAACGGCCCACTTTGTGAAAATAAAATACAGAAAAACACGCAAACAGATGGAGAGATAAAAAGGAACCATAAAGGAAAGCAGAAGACTTACTGTCCAGCTCATACTGTGTTAGAGAAGATTCGGTCAAATTTCTGATGCTGTAAGGAGCTGAAGTATGCACAGAAAATAGTGATTACAATTAAAAACCAATAAATAAAATGAATGTGGAAAACAGCACATTTTTATTAACAGTAACTGGAAAACACTAAACTCACCGGTGAAGTCAGCCCAGTTTGCTGAAGGACTGTTTACGGTGCGGACAGAGAAGCTGCGCAGATGGTCGTAGTGTAACTCCCGGTATCTGACCCTGAACCCCAACAGAACTCCGTTTATGTGATCCTCAGAAGGAGGCTAGAAAAATATAAGGTGAGACAACAATCAATCGTACGGTGCATATAAAATACAGCTTCATCTCTTCTTTATTCCCAAAGGAAACCCAAAAAACAGCAAAGTCTATTAGATTCATACCTGCCATCGAACCAGTACAGATGTGGTGGTGTGAGGAGTGACAGACAGAATGGTCGGGGGTTTGTCCGGAGCTGGAAAAGATGAATAAAAGTGTATTAGCATGTCAATAACACTGTGGAAATGAGTTTGTAATTCAAGCAAACTGGAAGAGCAAACATAAAGCATTCAGTAAAATCCAAAACCTAAATGTGAATGTAGAAGTTGGTTTATACAGATGTGAAGTGCTCTGGTACAGGTTAGGAAAAAAAAATATTAAAGGTCTAAGATTCCTTGAAGCATCTCACCGTTTGCCTTTCATGTCAGAGTTGTAGACTAAGATCTTATGTTGAGTTGTGTGTAATTTCATGCAATATCTCAAGATGTCACGCTCAGAATAAGTAAAGAAAATGACTCTTAGCTACAACCAGAGCACATTTTAGATTGATGTCTGTAAAATTGTCACGGGCCTGCGAGGTCTGGGGGTCCTCCCCCAGAAAATTTTGAATAAAGTAGATGTTATTTCCTGAATTTTTGTGTATTTTAACAGGTTATTAAACATCTACGTGCTTGTACTACAACACCAAATTTTAGCTCAACATTTGTAAATTTGACTGAGTTAGCTCCGTTGTTCTTTTTTTCAAGGTCAGCCATCTTGAATCACGTTGACTCCAAAGGTAAATCAGTAAATGCGCATTCAATGATTATTTTCAGTAAGTTGCATTAAAATCTGTTCTGTAATTCATGAGATATTTTGCTCACGGTACAAACAAACATATGCACACAGAAAAGCAAAAAAAAACCCACACATTCTGGCTTCACCTTTGCCTTCGGCAGCAGGTGATAAAAACAATAAATTTACAGCTCTTCTTACCATCCTGCAGCGTAGTGATGGCCTCACTCTCCTCACTATATTCACTGTCTCCAATGTCGTTGGTGGCTTTAACACGGAACTGGTAAGAGGTGAACGGCTTTAACCTTTAAAAAAAAACCGTGCCTGCATGAATTCTTCAAATAAACAGTAAAAATATGACATCCAGGAAGCAGACTTTTAAAAACTACCTGTCCACGATGTAGGAGTTCGTCTCATGGCTGACGGATGCAGAGTGGACAGTCCAGTTGCTGTCTGGCAGCTCCCTGTACTGAACTGTGTAGTAGCGAACGGGCGACAGGCCATCACTGCCTGGTTCCCATGACAACAGCACTCTGCGAGACTGGACTTCTTCTTGAGGCGCCGTGGGACGGCTGGTGGGTTGAGGGTGAGCTGAAGAACACACACGCAGACACCTCCAACTTGATATATAGAGGAGAAAATTTTAAATAAGGTATCTGAGCATCTCTGCCCTCACCTCTCTTCTCTGTTGTGACCACCAGAGCCTCGGCAGCCTCGCCCCAGCCCTTCCGTGTTTGGGCAGTGAGACGGAATACATAAACCGTTTCTGGTTTCAGTCCAGTTGCTGTGTACTGTCGGGCGCTGGGACTCAACACGTCCACAGTGGCGGCGCTGCTGCTTGATGAGTTTCTCCTGTATGTGATCTGGTACGCTACAAGAGTCAAAGCAAATAAGCACCAAAAGGTGGAAATTTTAGCTTCTAGGTAATTCTGATAGAAAATGCTTTTCTTTTTCTTTTTTTTTAAAAATAGAAACATAAAAAAAATTGCTTTATCCATTTACTTTTTATTCAATTTAGCTGAAGCTGAGAAGAATTCAATGTACGCTTTGTGTTTGGTCTCATTTTATTTCCATTTCATTTCCATCTTGTTTTATGTCCAACATCAAATGCATCCTTTTGCATTAGCTTTTATTTCTTTTTCCAGTGCCTATTATGCGTTATGTTCAGCACCTTTTTTAATCCCCCTCGCTATTGAAATGTGCTGCACAAATAAATCTCCACTGGCTTGCCTTGATCTCAAAATGTAATCTCACCCAGGATAATGCCATTGGGCTGTGCAGGAGGTTGCCAGATGAGCCTGACTGATGTGGTTCTGACTTCTGGGAACAAGATGCCAACAGGAGGGCCTGGCACTGTTACACAGAAAATGACAAAAATGCACTTATGAAGACACACAAAGGACAAATTGTTCATCCACAATAACTTCTAAATTATCCATACGAATCATAAAAAAAAAACAAAAAAAACCTGCAACATATTTTTTTTTGTACAAGAAGTCATAAAATGTAGCATTCCAAGTATTTATAATAAAACATTTAAAGCAGGAAATTACTGATACAAACTAAGAAGTGAACAAAAATGTTCCAGCGTGATGGAATGATTTTACTAGTTTGGAGAAAACACACCATTTTAATGAATAACAGCATAAACTAAAAAGTTCCTACATGGAGAAACTTTGACTGGGACTGCCAGGCTGCTGCCAATTTAAATAGATTATTTGACAGTAATATGTGTTTTGGTTTGCTCTCAGCTACCACTATACCAAATTTCAGCTGAATAGCTCTAAAAATGCCTGATTATTCATATTTTCCCTTTTTTAGCTAAGGTGGCCATCTTGGATTTTTTATTTGGATTCAATATTTGATCAGAAACGTTCTCAGCCATCACCACATCAAATGTCTGCTCATTATCTCTAAAAATGGCAGAGTTGTTGTATTTTTTTCCCTTTTTGCTAAGGCAGCCATCTTGGATATTTGATTTACATTAGGAACTTATAACAACTCAAATTTTAGCAACAACCAAACTAAATTTCAGCGCAATATCTCAAAGAATGACAGAGTTATAGTCACTTTTGTGTTTGCTGAGGTAGCTGTGGCAGCTATCTTGAATCAAAATGGCTCCAGACGTTAAATCAGTTCTAGAGAAATACCTGATGATTACTTTACGTGAGTTTCAAACAAATCTAACAGTGACTTTCTGTTTTCTTCATGGATCTCTACACATGTGACCTCACAGCAGCAGTTAGTGTGAGGAGAGTTCTATCAGGTGCTTTATATAGGTAAAATTGGCATCCTTGTTAGCAAATTACGTTGCCATCGTAACTCAAAACACCAATAAAAGTAATAGCACACATCACGGTGCTGAGCTGGTTGTGTTGATATAACATTTGTGGGGGTACATGTTGCGGTTCAAGCCACATTAAAGTTGATAGAAGAGCAAGACCCTTTTCAGGTGGATAATAATAGGTGGCTGCCCTAATAGGCAGTCCCCAATTAAGTGGTTTGTAAAAAGGATGTTTACCATCATCCAAGGTCCTCTCTAGAATGGGAGGCGAGCTGCACCGTCCATCTCCGATCCGGGTGAAAGCCAGAACCTGGATCACATAGAGGACATATTTTCCCAGACTGCTCAGCTGGACACTGTGGCTGGTGTTGCCCTCCACTGTCCAGAAGTCGGGTGCTGTGTCCGAGTCCTTCTCCTTATACACAACCTGAGAGATGCAGATTTTATGCAGCAACATGACTCATAAAGAGATAAATGTGATTGTGAAATGTGAATCTCTTTAGAGCAGTGACCTTGTAGCCGAGGATGAGTCCGTTGCGGTCTGCCTCTTGGACTTCTCCCCACCGCACCAGGATGCTGCTGGAGGTGGTGGCAAAGGCCGACACATTGGTGGGACCACTGGAAGGCACTGCAGGAGGGGATGGATACATTTTACACCAATTTTAGGATAACTTTTAGGATTTGAATGCATGTTTTCTTCCTCACCAGACTCCCTAGTCCTGCCGTGGACTGCCTGGCTCCAAGGTCCAGAACCAATGCCGTTGATGGCCTGAACTCTGACCTCGTACTCTGTCCACTCCTCCAGGTCTTCTATAGTGAACTCTCTCTCCAGCCGGTCCATGATGACATGAGAAAGAACCCCACCTTTGGATCCTGCTTTGGAGTACTGGATGCGGTAGCCAATGAGATCTGGATTGCCGTTGTACTCCCACTCTGGAAGAGGCTGAGAGGAGTTTGTTTTATTTCACACGTTCAAGTACAATGATGATAAATTATAGTATACTTGTATGAGTGTGCCACAAAGTAATGAGAGGCTGCCCTTTGCAGTGATGTTACAACAGATAACAGGTACAGACAGAAACACAAATAAGCAATTTGTTGAATGGGTTTTAATGTTAAATTGTAACACAAAAGCATTTTCATCTACATGCTCTTCAAATTAACTGCCTTTGGTTTAGTTCAGGACCCGAGTGCCACAAAAAGACTCATTTTTTTTAACATCCAGCTATAAGAGAATCCACTATCATTGATCTGTATCATCAGTCTGTCAAGCAATATTCTACTGCTGACATCTCTCTGTATTTAAATTCAGATATATCATCTCTTTTTAATCTTGCAAAGGCTGCAGTGCTATGACAAGCTTCTGTGACTCACCTCTTATAGAAGCTGCTGCTGTAATGCTAAAAGACAGATGTGGCAAAGACTGCACTGCCAAATGCTGATGCAGAACGCAACCAGAGCAAGGACACTCAGAGTCCAGCTTTCCAAACCACCATCAGAGTTATTGCATGTGTTCATTTATCATGTTTAAAAGCCCCAAGAGGATAAGAGCAGCTTTACAAAAGAACTGAAAAAGTCATTGAATGTCAAACTTTATAATACCTAATCACCTAAATCAAATTTTTACAAAGCTAATCTTACAACTCAAGGACATATTGCCAATTTCTTTTTCTTTCACCATTACTCAAATGAATGTACACAAGAGGGACGTTAAAATAAAAATAAGTCCTTTAAAATGGCTTATCTGAATGAGAAGAAGTCTTCATCTCATAAATCAGAAAAAAGGTCCATCAGAATCCAATTTAACTTTGCTGTCTTCATGCTGACTGTATCTGTTCGCATCTTACCACCCAGCGAAGCCACAGGCTGGTCTCACTGGCTGTGCGCAGAGTGACATTTGCAGGGGAGATGTCTGGGGGGGCTTGAAGGGTCTGGATCTTTCTGGAGGGCTGACTGGGAGGACTGGTACCCACGATATTCACCTGACGCATCCTGAACCTGGGGCAAAGGATACCCAATGATGGCAGATAAATCGCCTAAAGGTGACTTTTCATTCACGGTATTCTGGTGAGTTAACAAAGATTTAATTGATTAAGATTTGTTCAAATGAAGATTTTATGACACCCAAAAGGAAAATTAGCCATTAACAAAGTCATAAACTTAAATAATAATCTGTCACAAGAAATTCTTTTTTTTTTTGCATGCTGTATAAGTAAGGTGTGGTTAGACTTTTTTGTCTTTTTAAGCTTGTTGTCAATGTGCTCACCTGTAAAAAGTATAAGGATTGAGGTCGAGGACCTCCAGTGATCTGGCATCAGGCTCGTTAGTCAGCTCCTGAACCATCAACCACTCTTCACTCTCTCCAACGATACCAATCTGGAATATGAAAAGAAATGGGTTAAATAAGAATCTCGACAAATGAAATAAATACGAAAATTTAACCTGTACACTCACAATAAGAAATCAAATAAATAAATCAAAAGGCATTAATGACCTCAGTAATCAAAAATCGAAGTGAGTACCTGAGCTTCAACCTGCCAGCGAGAAATTGATGTCTTGCCATCATAACCCGGTTTGAACTGCAGGGTGACAGTACGTGGGCCGATGTTAGAAATGGCTAAATTGGTGGGAGGACCAGGCAGCTCTGTCAAAGACAATTTAGAAAAGAAGAGCATGTAAGTCATCACTGCCTTCAGAGATTCTTGAGCAGAATGACACTTTCTGAGTTACACAAAAACAGGTTTTTCTATGGAATAATTTTCTGGAATTTTCAAGATATTTCTTAACATTACTTGTCTTGTTTTATTTGTACACTGACCCGGTGGTACACCAGAAGATATGGTGGATGCAGAAAGTTGACCTTGGCCTTTGGAAGTCATGGCTGCCACCTGAATGGTGTAAGTAGTGAGTGCAGTGAGCCCTGTAACCCTGTACTCCTGAGTCAGATTAGGCAAATAATGGGTCACTCTTGTATTGGTCCTGTTGAACTCCTCCCAGGAGATGCGATAACCTGAAAAAGGGGATGAATTCCACAGAGGTGTTTAAAACAAACTCTGCCTTGTTATCTAAAAGTTATCTTTGCTAAGGTTACATGAGAAGTTATCTTAAACGTACCTGTTAGAACACCGTTTTTCTCTTGTGGCTCTTTCCAGCTGACTTTTAGCGACGTGTCCAGGATGTCAGTGAAACTCAGGTGACCCACAGCACCAGGGGCTACAAGTGATGTAGATCAGGTAGTTAAAGAACAAAACAACATCCTAGTTTATGATCATCCATGCAGTAAGTACTGTATTTAATCTTATATGGAAACATACTATCTTCATGGGTGTGTATACGCTGAGGGGGACTGCGAGGCCCATCTCCAGGGGTAGTGAAACATAGCACTGACGTAAAATAGTCTGTAAACTTTTTAAGGCCAGAGACGTAACCAACATGAACGCTGTCTTGAAAGTTGGGGAGGACTGTAACCATGGTGACCTCATTAGAACGACCTGGTTCCCATGCCAAGAGCTGAAGATGAGAAGGCAGACGGTGTCATTTTTCATATTTTAGCCACACAGTATACATTTAAGGAAATACACTTTTGACTTTCAGTGTATTTGGTTCGAAAATATCATAGGAGCTGCTTCGAATCCCACTGTGCAAGAGATTTCCCTCCTGCCACTGACCACTAGAGAGCACCAGTGGCCAGAAAGGAGCCACTCACCTTATATCCCTGGTTGATTCCATTGATAAACTGAGGACTTGGGGCAGTCCAGGTAAAACGCACCGCGGTTGAGTTGACAGCCTCAGCTTGTACATTTCCCGGAGGCACAGTGGGCACTGATCCAAACAATGGAGAGAAACAAGAGATTCAGGGAGGGAGAGGGATTAAGGAAGAAAGAGGGAGGGCGAGCAGACACGCAAGGATGGGGGATAGACAGAGGAATAGTAATGAGATAAAGAAAGGGTAACTCAAAATGTACAAGAGACATTTTTAGACCAGATTCATTCAGAGCGTGAGAATCGAGCTGAAGGAACTTGTCTTTTGGCTCATTTGGGGAGGTAAGAACACACCAGTCAGACAGGGTGTGAGAGCAGTTGCCTCAGGCAGCTTCCAGGTAAACCCTGCAGCAGTTTATTTGATGTAAGCATGCCATTCTGATGTAACGAGGGAAAACAGTTAGGGAGTTGCACATTAACGAAGATGATGGGACCGTATTGGTCCTGATGCCCCTGTGTGCCCCTAATTCTAGTGGAGTGCATATAAGCATCCAACATGAACCACTCTTAGCTATTCAACAGAGTGAGGGAGAGAGAAATAAAATTAATTATATCTACACTTAATAACTTTGCTGTTGCTATTAATGATCATACACCACATGATTAATTTATTTAGTTTTTTAGAGCTGGAATGGAATGGAAATTAAAAAAAAAAGATGTTTGCCTAACTTTCTCAGTCTGTTTTTTTTTTTTTTTTTTTTTTTTTACAAATAAACAGAAATCTCATATTTCTCCATGAATCATTGGGTACATTTGTTAATCAAAAGACGCAACTGACTCTGACTGATTCGGATCGTTTGCTGACTAATTAATCAGGCTTCACGCAAAGTGGGCTGAAGTTTCAAGGTTTTCAAAATATGAATTTGTGTCAGTCAGGATCCACAGTTTTTGAAGCATGTGAAGTATTTTAAACTCATCTATCTCATCTCATCTATCCATACTGACAGTATGATATGAAATTCCTTCTCAGTGCAAATACTTTGTAGAACAGATGGATTCTTCTGGAAAGATCATATAAATGAGTAAATGTAAATGAGTCCTCGAGGCTCAGTGGGATTTACCTGTCTAAATAAAGGTTGAATGAAGGTTGAATGAATATAGAGAGAGATAGTTTAAAAAAATGTCTGTAAGAAATGTTTCTAGATATGCATCTAGCTATTTAGCTACTTTTTGCTTCAGTTTCAGATCAGTGATTGACATTTTGGACTGTAACAAAATAAACACTAGAAAAACACATCCAACAAAGTTCAGTCAGGTCATCTGGATACTTTCTTTTTTTTGTTGAAACATTTTGTCCTTCATCCAAAGGACTTCATCAGTCCGAGGAGCCACAGTAAACTTAGTCCTGCAAGCAGCACACTCACATAGTGGACCAAGATGGTTTCTGGGGCCCACCCTCTTCTCCGTCGACCCCACTGATTGGTCCACTATGTGAGTGTGCTGCTTGTGGGACTAAGTTTGTTGTGGCCCCTCGGACTGATGATGTCCTTTGGATGAAGGACAAAATATCTCATAAAAAAAAAAAGAAACCCTCCAGATGATCTGACTAAACAATGTTGGATTTTTTTTTTACCTGGATTATTGAGCATGAACTTTGATGTTTTGAACCACTTTGGACATGCTGCCTCTGAGCAGTCGATGGGAGAGAAGGTGGGCCCCAGAAACCATCTTATCACCAGCAAACTGGCTGGTCCACAATGTGAGTGTGCTGCTTGTAGGATTGAGTTTACTTTTGCTCCTCGGACTGATTAAGTCCTTTGGATTAAGGTTGAAACGTCTCAACATAAAAACAAAACAAGAGAGAAACCGTCCAGTTGACCTGATTGAACTTTGTTAGATTTGTGTTACTTGGATTATTGAGCATGAACTTTGATGTTTTGAACCACTTTGGCTATGGCTGCCTCAGAGGAGTTGACGGGGGAGAGGGCAGACCCAGAAATCTTATCTTATCACCAGCTAACTGATTGTTCCAGTATGTGAGTGTGCTGCTTGTGGGACTGAGTTTGTTGCAGCTCTTCAGACTGATGAAGTCCTTTGGATGAAGGTCGAAATGTCTCAACAAAACAATGAAACAGCCCAGATGACCTGACTGAACTTTGTTGGATTTTTTTATCTGGATTATTGAGCATGAACTTTGATACTAGATAGCACACTATCTTTAAACATGTGTAACAAAAACAGTAAAATCCATTTAAATCAAAACTGACTCCTGAGTCTGTCTGCTGAATATCAGCATGTGAGCAGGAAGTGGAAAACCCAAGTAGATGTAATTTATTTATTCCTTCAATGGGAGCTCCTGAGAACATTTAGTGAGGTTTGTGCACAGTTCCCGCTTGGAGAACAAATTTAACATGACAGGAGCACAGAGGTGTGTGCATATGTTATGTATTTTAGAAGAGACGCTTTCTGCAAGCTACATGTTAAAGATAGTTGCAGCCTTTCCAAATAATGAGTACCATACTTGCCACCGTACATGTCACACCGCCATATAAGTCGCATCAGTCCAAATATGTCTAATAAAGTGGGACAAAACATAAATATTTAGCTTCGCTGTATACGTCGCATCTATTATGCATCACCGCTGACGCGTAGCATTTGTTACGTGTCAGCTGTAACAACCTGGAAACATGGGCCGGTGTGCCAAAAATCGATTGGCTGCCAAATGGCAGCCGTGGGAGCGTGCACAGGAGGACCCTAACAAGAATTTAGCAAGATTAACACTTAAAAACAATTATTTGTTTGCTCGAAATTATAGCAAAAGTGTGTCTTAGTCTAACAACAAAGTCCATGCTCAGTAATCCAGGTATACAATCCAACCTTTTTCAGTCAGGTCATCTGGACAGTTTCTTTTTTTGTGCTGAAACGTTTCGCCTTCGATCCGGAAGGCTTCATCAGTCAAGGAAACACACAACACAAAACTGATTCTTTCCCCAGCAGCTTACTCCAAAGTGGAACAAACCAGTTATGTTGGTGCTAAGATGGTCCATCACTTTGGAGTAAACTGTTGGGGGAAGAATCAGTTTTGTGTTGTCTGTTTTTTTGACTGATGAAGCCTTCTGGATCAAAGGCAAAATGATTCAGCACAAAAAAAGAAACTGTCTAGATGACCTGACTGAAAAAAGGTTGTCTTAGTCTAACTTTTCCTTAATAAATGCACTTTGACTGTCAAATCTTTTCCATTTCAAAAGCTGATTTGCGGAAGCGGGACCGGGAGCTCACAGAGGAACGACTCACTTTGCATTTCTTTGAAATTTAACAAGATCAGCACCTAAAAACAATTAATTTTTTGCTCGAAATCATAGTAAAGGTGTGTCTCAGTAGAACTTTTCCTTAATAAATGCACTTTAATCGTCAAATGAGTTGCATTTCGCCTGCGTGGCGTGGCGAAATGCAGCTGATTTGACGTTCGCTGCAGGAATTCCGGAGCAAGACAAAGGTGGATTGGTACGGCAAGCCAAGTGTCTCATTAATAGCCACGATGACTAATTAATGAGACACTTGGCTTGCCATATTAGTCGAGGGCCCTCTAGTGTCTGAAAATGGTAGTGTTCAATATTTTCCATGTCAGAATGAATGAAATCATCAGATCTCAACCAAAAATTGGATTATAAATATGGGGGGGGGGCATAAATACACGCTTCGCTGTACAAGTTACAGGCATGTTAATTTATGCAAAAAACTGTGACTTATACAATGAAAAATACTGTAGTCATGAATTGACGGTGAGTAAACTGAAAACAGCAAAAGGTTTAAAAAGACAGAGTCCCGTTTTTTTCTGAAGAGCTAAACTCTCAGACATTTTAATGCTCCTTCCATTCTGAGAGCGTCATAGATTTTGGTGAATTCCAACGACAGTGACTTTGATCCTCTGCTGATTTTGATTGAACGAGGAGACTTGGAAGCCAAGACGTTTGAATCAGTAGGCATGACGGCAGCACAGAGTGCAGGACGCATGTTCTAATTACAACACTCAGCATGAACAAGGAGGGGAGAAGTCATCCGAAACAGATTTTCTATGAATTTAAAAAAAAAAAAAAACAGCGGTTTGTCTCAAGAGTGACACTTGTCATCAGCATGGTAATTTATGTTCAGGGTTAATTATATCTGGGCTGAGAAAGGTCAGCAAAGGTTTTCATGTTGCCAAAATGAATCACTTTGTCACTTAACCAAGACATGTTTTGTTTAAAAGCAGAAATGAGCAAAATACCAACAAGATGCAGTTCATGACATACGTTGTAGAGTCAGAGCCTTTTTGGAGCAAAACTGAATCAGTGTAAAGTAAAATACAGCAAAGACTTTGACGTTTTACTGACCTTAATGAACAAAGTTGGATGATCATGTTTTTGCCTGTCTAAAAGTGTGTGTTAGCAAAATGGCTCACAAACCACTCAATGAATATTAATGAAACTGTCGGGAAATAATGATTAAATATAAATCTACAACTGAATAACAGACCAATACAAACATGGCTGTAATTCAGTTAATTTTAAAGATACCACACAGATTTGTAGCTGAATGTATTTCACAACACATTTTACAGGTAGTACTCATTACATGAATTATTTGCTTAAAACTTTAGCATTAACTGTTGGTGTCAAGCCTGAATGTCTGTTAGCAAAATATCTCTCGAGCCACAGGATTTTAATGAAACTTTCAGAAAGTAATCACTGAATGAACCTCTACAACAGATGAACTTTTAGAGTCAGTTTAATTCCAGATGGCTGCTGTAGCTGATCTAATAGATGCAACAAAAATGGCTATAACAGAATTTTACAAATATTAAACTAAAATTTGATGCCCTAGCAGCTGAGAGTGTTTTAGAACACACACATGACAACGTGCAATCTGTCATGAGATTGTGTTTAATGTTATTTTCAAGGTTTGTCCCAAATATCTAATACCCAACCTAAGATAATTCTGGTCTAAAACTGCTGTATAGGCATCTGGTGATAAGAATTCCTTCAAGAGACTAGGGCTTTAATTTATAGTTCTTGGTACCAAATAGATAAAAAAAATGCATTCCATAAAAACTGCACATTTTATTTACAAAAACAGCTATAGAAGAATACTTAAACCATGACGTAAAATAGAAAACATATGGAGAAAGACTTTAGAAGATTTAAACATACACGTGCAAAACAGACATCAGAACTCCTACAGGTTCATAATAAAACCAAAAATACCCCAATATTACAGACTCACTTATGCCAGCAGCCTATATAAATGTATTATTTATTATTTAATGTATTTTAAGCAGTAGTCTACATTTACTGTAGAAGTGTTGCAAGTTGCAGCTCTGTGCAAACTGTGAATTTCTTAATAAGAGCAGAATAATACATCACCTCCTTCATCTCATATTTTATTCTGCAGTCTCTAACATTAGGCAAAATCCACTTTAACACAGGATAAATGGATCAATGGCCACTCGTAGACAGTCTTTCTTCCATTACAGAACACCTTATAACTGTTGTCTGTTGCTCTCACCTCCTTGCAGAGTCCACTCAGTGACTTTGTGGCTGTATGTGCCCCTGCCTGCTCCGTTGTAGGCGCCTACTTCAATCTCATAGTTCGTCCAGATGATGAGGTCCTCCAGGATGAGACTGGTCTGGTCCGGGTTAGTGATGTTTTTTATCTGACAGTCGACTGGAAGCCCTGACAGACAGTACCTGACAGCAGTGGGAGGAAGTGACAGCAATTAATAGAGGGGAGGGGAATACAAAAAGACAGGGACAATACAGAGAGTCGACAATATTAGGACACAGTTTCTCTCACAATGGAGCAGGAGGACTGGCATTAAAAAAGGCAAGAAACAGTTATAAAATTGTTACAAAACGGGAGGTGACAACAGATGAATGGAGAGGATGCTTTTAATTGGCACCAATTATTCTGCAGTCGCAGTGAGCAGAACTGAGGCAGAAACGAGACAAAGAACCAGCCGACATAGCAAATATGAATACAACAAACTCAAACAGGCACCAACCTCAAAAACAAGCAGAATCTGCCTACCTGATGATGTAGCCCTGAAGAGGGCCGTTCTGGTGGCTCTCCGGTGGGGGCTGCCACTGGATCATGATGGACTGATTGGTGCGTCCACTTGCGATGACGGTCTGAGGGGGTGCACTGGGAGGCTCCTCGGGGAGCATCAGTCTGCAACAGAAAGACAACAAGAGGTAAAAGAAGAGACGAAGAGTGAAGTCATGCATTCATTATCACACGTTTCTGCATATTTCAATTCCATTTCATCATAGACATCAGATTACAATAAAGCCTGCCTTTTGTATTTTCTTTTTTATAGCACACCATAAGGGAAAGTTGGGAAAGTGTGGTTATGTTTTTTTGTTCCCACCCAAAACATATTCTCTATACTGCTGTCCGCAGAGGGACAGCTTGCTGTGGCAAAGAAGAGATCAAAGACAACTCGGTGGAAAATGGGAGCAGCGCGATGGAGAGAAAGATATAAAAGAACAAGAAATAGAGATCCATGAAGACTTTCCTTTTAAGTCAATTTAAGATGACATCTTGATTTCTTCCCAACCTGCAGGAGAAGCCCTCTGGAGGAGATAAAGCAAAGTGTTTAGGATCAAAGAGGTGTGCCAGAGAGATGCCTCAAAAAAAAAAAAAAGAGTCTTGCTCTCACTGGTGCACCTCTTACGGTGCACTCTGGTTAGGGCAGATACTCCGAACAATTCAGTGAATGAATACGTGGTGGAAAAGCTCCACGAATGGTCGCGGTTGCTTTCCACTAAGTTCTTTGCAGCAGGTGTAAAAGAAAGAAGAAAAAAAAAAAAGACAAATGTTGACATGGACAATCTCACCTGTGTGTGTAGGGGGATCACAAAATCCGCAGAATGTGTTTGGGTTCAGATTTTATGAATACAACTGTTTGATTTGGCTCTCAAAGTTAATTCAGTCGAGAATTGAGTCTGTGTTGAACTCATCCGCTTAAAGCCTCTGTGTATTTTACTCATGAAGAGCGGCGATGACAGTTAATATGAAGGACAGAGATGAAGCCGGGTCAGTGCACCCATCAAGTCTTCACAAGGCGCAATTTCATATTTTTATTTTAAGAAAAGGCCCGTTCCAAAGCTGGCTCATCTCCCCGTCAACCCGCAGGAGTGAAAACCAAAAGAAAAAAAAGAGTAATACAGGATTTTCTATTGAACTGCCAAGATGAGACCGGGGGAGCGGCTTGTTACAGAGCAATAAAAACCCTCTAATTGCAACGCTTTTCTCGTGGCCACGTTAGGTTACATGGCGAACATTTTTAACAAACAAGCTGAAAATTGGACAAAACACCACCCACCGATCGGTCTCCTTGCTGAACTGGCCTCTGCCTACATCGTTGACGGCACACAGGCGGAACTGGTAGGAACGTGCCGGGATGAGACCACCAACAATGACCCCGGTGAACTCAGGCTCAATGTTAGCCAGCAGCACCGTCCAAGGCGCATCTAAGACCATAGATAGAGGAACAGATGTTCAGCAGTCTTCCTTTCATAAAAATCTCTCCAGCACAGGCGAACACATTTAAATTCAGCACTATTTCTACCTATAATTGCACAGACTTGTTTCATTTTCCATAATAACATTGCAGCTATACCAGCAGAAACAAGTCATTTATTTTGCATGCACTCCCCCTAAATATCAGATTGCAATTCAATTATCTAAAACCCAGATCCCATCTGCATCCTCAGATTCATTTTCCTTCTAATGAGTTGTCATTTTCTCAGTTAGCTTAGGCTTAAATGAGAAATGGTTGAACAATTTACTCTCTGTGGGTGAAAACATTCCAACTTCTTTGATTTTATCTGCCGAAGAAGAAGATAAGAGCATTGGACGTGAGCTCAATTCGGTTCCCCTGATCATTCATAAGGACGCGCACGAGCGAGGCAATTGAGTTATACTGATTGCAGAAGGCATGAAAGGATGCAACTGCCAATTTAAGGGAAACAATATAAATGTAATATAAGAGGAGCAGCAAATTAGTGCATTGGTGGAGTAAAGACGAAAAGATTGCTTTAAAATTACCATCAAGAAACGGTAAAACACTTTTCTTTGCTGATGACTGTGAAAAACTTACTGTTTTCTGAGACCTCCAGGATGTAACGGATCAGGGGGCTGTTGCCATCGAAGGCCTGGGCCCATGTGAGGTTGATGGCCCTCTTTTCTGTGTTACTCAAAACTGCCACTGGGTTCTCTGGAGCATGGGGCAGCTGCCTGTATGTGCATATGAGTGTTTGCATGAGACCGGGAACAAATAATCCAGACAGGCGAGGCGCCAAACAACAGAATTAAACAGACAAACTGAGAGCCCTGCATTGTAAATATTAAAGGTGTTTGATCGATTAGAGAGGAGGGCAGTCATAAACCCACAACAGTGTAGAAAACATCCATCTGTCATGCGCTCGCAGCTTGAAATGTGAAAGGGAACAAAAAAATATATATACAGATGTCAAGATAAGAGCGTAAATGAAATGTGCAGACCTGACTCGGAGGTGGGCGCTACGGGAGTCATTGCCACCCACGGATGTTACCCTGCAGGTATATGTTCCGATGTCACCCGACCACGTCTGGGAGATGTGCAGAGTCCCGTCAGGGTCCAGACGCAGGCGGGGCGACGTGTTCACGTCAATCACTGAGCCGCTCTTCTCCCACACATGCCTGCAGGTTTGTACAAGATCTTATAGGCACATAGACCAGAACACTCCTCCCACCCACCCCCCACACACATGCATATGCTCACACTTTCACACACAACGCTCTTTACTCCAGAGTGTTGTGACAGTAAATGTGTTTGCCTTGTGTCAGTTCATACAGCAGACACAGAAGCTGTTGACACTGATGAAAAGCCCTCTGATGAGGATAATAATGTGAATCTGAGAAACATCCCTCTCCTTTTGGCACACATACAGCACCGAGCCAATCATCCATGCACTCCAGCCATGCCTTGCACCTCACACATGATCACTCACACACATGTATAAGGGGAAGCACATGCTAGAAAGCAACTGTGATTAATTGCAACTATTTGGGCTCCCCAGCTAATCTCCTCTGTGTTGCATTTAATTAAAGGCGCTGTCTGAGGTTATTACGCTGTTTACATATTCATCTGTTTACCCCGCAATCTGATCAATGTCGCAGGCCCACAGGTGACAGGCACTCTAATCACTGGGCTCCGAAGACGACATTTCACTCCCTCTGAGACAGACTTGTGCATACTCTCTGCTGTGCACAATTCTGTCTCAGAGAAAAGAGAAGCCCAGGAACTAAATCCTCCATCAGAATCTGGGTGTTTCAGATTTTCTTCATAGGAGGCTTTCTAGGGATTAACTGTACAAGATCTCCTGCAGATATTGTAAACTAATTGAAGGCCTAGCATTCCTTGCAGGAATGCATTTTGTCTGCTGCCTTTCATGCTAAAGGTTTAGATCAAGGTCATCTTAAAATTTAAATGACACCGTAGTTTTGTAGTCGTTGCCATCAAACCTCGCACAATCCGCACAATTTCAATTCAGTTCAGTTTATTTATATAGCGCCAAGTCACAACAGAAGTCATCTCAGTGCACCGAACAGAAACATTCATAAAAACAAGTTAACGCTATTTATCTGAGGAGCAGACTGCTTTGAATTTAACTCCATCGCAGAACTCATCTTGAGCAAGCACGAAGGCAGCAGTGAAAAGAAAAACGCCCTCATGAGGAAGAAACATTGAGCAGAACCAGGCTCAGGACAAGCGGACATCTGCTTCAATTGGCTGGGTTTGAGAAGAACAGATACACAATGGCAGGTCGAGAATCACATGTTAAGATTGAAATAGTATCAAATGAAAACTATTCAATTTCAACAATTCATTTAAGGAAATGAGGTCAATTTGTCCTCTAGTAAGCATATAGCAGCATAACAAGCCAACCCTAACTATAGGATTTATCATAAAGAAAAGTCTTAAGCCCAGTCTTAAAACTGGACAATGTGTCAGCCTTACGGACAGAAACTGGAAGTTGGTTCCACAAGAGAGGAGCCTGATAACTGAAAGATCTTCGTCCCATTCTGTTTTTGGAACTCTACTGCAAGTAAGCCTGCAGTTTAAGAGCGAAGTGCTCTGTTAGGAAAATATGGAACAATGAGATCTCAAATATAAGATGGAGTAGGTTGTTGAGAGCTTTGCAGGTTAGAAGTAAGATTTTGAAATTAATTCTGGACTTGACAAGGAGCCAGTGGAGAGAAGCTAAAACTGGAGACATATGATCTCTCTTACTAACTCCAGTTAAGACAGGCAGCAGCATTTTGGATCAACTGAAGACTTTTTAAAGACATATTTGGACACCCATATAATAAACCATCCAGTCTAGACGTGAGATGTTATAAGGCATATGTGTGTTGAATAACTCAGCTTCTACCACATTAAATTTTAACTAACTTTATTTCAAATGAACTAAACTGTAGCCATTTTGTGTTGTGTAATGTTAAATAGCTGTGGCAGTCATCTTAAACTGGGTTAAACTCAAAAGGTATTCAGTTGTAAATGTACATCCACTAATTATTTATTTAAAATGTCACCAGATTTCATCCAGTGGTGAACAATATACGTATAGATAAAAGTCAACTAGAGTTGATCCGAATGGATAATGCTAAATTTTAAACATAGATCTTGAGCACAATGTGTTTTGAACATGTGTTGGATTATCATTTTCTGCCACAACAAATGTTCAGTCAGTATCCCTAAAATCTTTGGAGTTGCAGCTATTCTTTTGTTTGCTCAGGTTAGTTGGCTGGAGCAACCTTTTGAATGGAATTGAATTCTAAAGTTAATCAGTAATTGATGTGTATTCACAAATTATTTTGCACATGTTTCATAAAAATCCAACGGTTCAAGAAATATTTTGCCAACTGACAGACAAAGTTAGTTCCAAATGCTTGTTTAAAACAAATATCTTGCATAATCTATTACAATTTGAGAATATCCATTAGACATCAGCCTCAGGAACCCCCACACAAAATTCTAGCTCAAAATCTCTAAAACTGACTAAATTATATACATTTTTTGTGCTTTAAGGATCCATTGTAGCAACATTCCTGAATCAGCTTGAGTCTAAGGGTTAATCAGTTGTAGATGCATCCAATAATTACTTTCTTCAAGATGCTGGTGAAGATTCTCAGTCATCCAGGACATGGTAAATCCAAAAAAAAGAAAAACAAAACAACTGGATTTATTTGTAACTGAAGCTGTTTCGCTTCTCATCCGAGGAGCTTTCTCAATTCAAAGAAACAAGGAGTGCGGGATTCAAGTTATAAAGCTGTGGTGTCCTGTAAGTTTGCATAATGCAGATTGACACATGCTTTCTGCAAATTTCATTAAAAAAATTCTCAGTGGTTCATGAGGGATTTAACTAACAAACAGACACAGTCACAAACACAGTCGTGCAAAAAAACACATTCATCTGCCTTCGCGTTTCATTGTCAGGCAATAATTAAACCTTTAACTCACAGCCAAGCTTTTAATAGAAGTGAATATTAAGGATTTGTAACTTTTTTTTACCTCACAGTGACACTGGGATCATGGGTCACGCCACAGGTCATAACAGCCTTGGTTCCTTTGATGACACTCTGGTCTTGAGGTGGTTTAGTGATGCGCGTACGTGCTGCGAATACAAAATTCACCAGACACTCTCACTTAAAGACGACATGTTGGGTCTCATTTTTCACTTTGACTTTCTCGCCACCATCACAGCATTTTCAATGGCTTTGGCTTTGTAAGCTCTTCAAGGCCTGATAGTTTGAATTTATTCACGGGTAACACTGTACATGTTTTACCTCACTGACTAGCACAAGAACATGGTGACAGTGACCCTGAGAAACAAGCTGCAGACTGTATGAACTGTCTTTTCCAAGCGATGAGCTGCAAATCGACTTCATTCTCTTCATTTCAATGTTTGAACGGTTATTTTTCAGGTAATGCTCAGAATCTTGAAAGCAGCGAGAGCCCCTTTCTGTTAATCTTACCCCAAACCAGCAGGTCAGCCGAGGCCTCGTCGATCCCCCTCGAGTTACTGGCCATGCAGGTGTAGGTACCAGCATCCGACAGGTGGGAGGGGCTGATGAGCAGGCTGCCCGATTCCAGCAGGGTGAACCTGGGCAGCTGGACCGAGCCGCTGGCCAACACACGCTCACCTGCAGGGAACAGAGGAAGTGATTGATGGCATTTAAAGGAGGACAAAGGAGGGGGAGGGAGGGAATAGAGTGATTAGGGCATTGGAGAAATGTCAAGGAAAACAAACAGGAGGGAAATCGGTACAGCAAAAATAAATAAGTAAAAAGATAAAGCTTGGCTGGAGAACATTTATAATCTGAATCTTTTCTGGAGCCTTCATCTAACTTTGGCACATAAAAAATAGCATAATAACCCCCACTGCCCAAAGCCCCCACTCTTCGACAACTAAAAAAAAAAACCTCATGCTGTTAGCCCACGCACCTTTCTGCCAGGTGATGGCTGGACGTGGAGCTCCTGAGGTCTCACAATGCAGAATGACTGACATGCCATCAATCACTGCACTGTCAGAGGGGCCAGCGGTGATGTTGGGCGCAATACCTGAGTGGGATCAGACACGGACACACATAGAAACACGCATACATTCAAGCAAAATCAGGTGAGACAGAGGTGATAATGAGAGACATAAACAGCTTTCTCTCTAATAAAACAGGCGGCAGTTGAGAGCTTAATAGACTTGACAAAAGGGGCAGCTGTCAGGTCTCATTCTCAGCGACAGCTCTAAGACTAACATGGCGCCTTCGTCTGCGCCTGCCTCTCCTGTTCGATCTAATTCAAAAAAAGAGGCAATAATTGCTCGAGCTTCCAAGGTGACAAATCTGTCGCTGCAAAGAGATTTAGAGATGGATGGGTGTCTGAGGGAAGGCACAGAGCAGGACATGGGAACATACTTGTAACAGCTAGGTAGGTGTTTGTCTGGATCTCTCCTGCAAGATTGCGGGCAAAGCACTGGAACATCCCTGTATCATCTGGCAGGAGGCCGTTGATCTGCAGGCTGCCCCCCACCAACACCTTGTACCGGGGGATCTTCACCGGGCTGATGGGCACTGCATCTTTATACCACACTATGTCTGGCTGTGGTGTCCCTGCAGAGAGAGGGCAGGATTTAGCTTGTCACGTTCATCCGCCGGTTCTTTTATTTTTGCCATTCTTCACGTCTTTTTGTTCTTTCGCTCATGCATTAGCACAGAGAGAGAGACGAAAATAACACACCTCGTGCCTGACAGGGAATATCCACCACCTTCTCCATTTCTGCAGTGATGTGACTTGGTGGCTCTTTTATGAACAGAGGGTATTCTGATTGAGGCAAAAAAAAAAAAAAAAACAGAAAACAAATCAGTGCTCCCGTAAAGCCTTTTCAAATCAACACTTTCCGTCAAAATAGGGTTAGGATCAGGGAGAAAATGACTTGTGGCAGCACACACTCTCTCAAAACTCTTTCAACATGAGGTTGAGCCTGCTGAGGCAATATCCAGCTGCTGTGAGCTGGTTTGAAGTATCAGCTGTGCTCTAATTACCAAGAACATGCAGGTAGGCCCCAGCGGTGACTGAGGGGACACTGCTGCTGCGAAGCGACGCCTCACACTCATAGTAGCCGCTGTCGCTGACCGTAGGCAAACTTTTGACCAGTCGACGGCCGAAATCTCGGATTCCAGTGTTGACCACTACCCCGTCCTTCCTCCAAGTAATACTCATTTTAACGAGGGGTCTGGATGAGGAAAGGCGGATAAAAAAAAAGATGAAAAGACGAAGAAAGAGAGCGCAAGAGACACAGAACGGTGCTTTAATACAAAATCATATGCTGTTTCAAGGTTAAAGAGTGTTGAGGGTGAAATGTGATACATCTGTCATTCTGATTAAGCCTTTGAATTGGAGATAATAGTCAGAATTCAGGGCTAGGATTGTGTGAGATAGGCAGAACAGAGCAAAGCCTTGAATCAAAGGGAAGAATGGAGGAGAGGTACAAAACGGGGGAAGTGCAAAACACATTTCGATCATGTTCAAACAAAAGATTTCCGGACTCATTTAAATCATAAAATATCACATTTTGTGGTGAGAAGAAGGTGAGAAGGCTTTTGAAACGTGCGGATGCCTGTCTGTCGTTTCTCTCGAACCAAACCAAACACTATACGATATACCTTGCATTTGCTACACACTCCATGACAGCGTCGTTTCTCCCCACTGTTACAGTGGTGTTCTTTGGGGCGATGATGATGGAGGGGGCGATGGGGTCCGCAGGTCCTCCTACGTCTATTATACACAGAAACAGAAAAAAAAAAGTTAAAGCAATCTATAACAGCAGACTACTTTCTGATTTAGCTTCTGCATCTGCCTGATACAGCCAGCTGAGCATGACCAGATCCCCACAAAGAGACTGACAGTCTGTCACTATCAGCAGCAGGTAGCCAGCTTTCTGTAACCCAACTATTAACACCCCTGTCTTGACTTTGAATCCTTTCTCTGTTCCACACAACATTTTCCTGTGCAAGGTGTTAGAGCAGGTGTTAGAAGCCATTATGTAACATAATTGAGACAAACACAAAAGGCGATTAAATGCAGCACCATCACTCACTGGTTTCACGGAGCCTCCAGCCATCCATCGATTCACTGCCCTCAATCAGTGATCTCTCTCTGAATCTGATCTCATTTTCCCCCCCACCTCCCCGGAGGACGACTGTGGGCCCGCAAACTGGCGTGTGTTTGAGCGTCCGCACGTTTGCGGTGTGTTGCTGTGTGTGCGATGCGCGGCAGTGTGTTTGTAGGGGCTCAATTTTCAGGGCGAGCTCAGGTTAATAAGGTTCCTAATCAACTTTTTATTATTAGTGATGTTATTTTGAGCCACCTCGTTGTAAGGCTCATCCTTTCATGGCTCCAGTTTGAATCTCAACAGCGTTATGGCCAGGCTTCTTACCAGCACGGACTAAATGTTGAAGCAGACCTTTTGTGCCTCATTACAGCTGTTTGGTTAAGCTCCCCATTGATTTCTGCATTCAGGTCTCTAGCTCATTACAGTATTTCAATATATACCTTTTATGCCTGATAGTGTAAGATATTTTGGTACAACTTTACAATAAGGCTCCCCTTAATAGATGGCTAATAACTAGTTTAAATAGACATTATTAATTCCTTTATAAACACTTTATAACTCATTAACAACTGCTTATTACGCATTAATTAAGGGTGAGAGAGACAAAACTGACCAGTTTCTTGCCAAATATTGAGCCAAATCTGTTCACCTATGTATTTCATGTACAGTTGTTATATTAAACATTTCAGACTAAGTTACTACCTGTAAGCACGAGAAGTATTTCTAATAGGGATGCACAATATTGGATTTTTTTGGCCATTAGCCGATATGCCGATATGTTAAAACTTTTTGGGCCGATAATCAATACCTATATTTTTCCCTAGACCTACTTACAGAGACTACATAGCTTTCTTTGCTGAGAAATTAAAATACTACATTATTCTGCATGGTCTTAGTCAATTTGGCCTGCTACCAAATGCTGACGCCAAAAAGGGGGCGGACAATTATGTAACACTTCAACTTGGATTATGTTTAATGTCCAATTTATTCATGACATTTACTCTCTTTAACACAATGATAAACACTAAAACAGTGCAAATTTGTAAAATTTACAAATCTAAACTCAATGGCACGTGTGATGTCATAACGTTGTGCTGGCGATGCAGGCATCCTTGTCACTAGGTTGTCATACAAAAACAGTGCGTTTTAACCCCCCCCCCATATATATATATATATATATATATATATGTATACAGCACCTTTTGTATCGGTGAGTTATTTTTATGGAATGGCCAATGTCCGATATTTATCTTTATCGCTACTGTCGGCCGATACAGATACCATGCTATTAATATCGTGCATCCCTAATTTACAAACCTAATTTTTTGGGGGATATAATATTGTACTTTATCACTGCATTATAAGTATCTACATCTCATATTATATCCTAAAAAAAATAGATTTGCAAATGCTTGTTGTGCTTACAAGGTAGTAACTTAGTCTGAAATGTTTAATATAACAACTCTAAATGAAATGTAAAGGTAAACAGATTTGCCTCATTATTTGGCAAGAAACTGGTCAGTTTTGTCTCTGTGTCACCTTTAATTAATGCATAATAAGCAGTTATTAGTGATTTATAAAGTGTTTGTAAAGGGATTAATAACATCTATAGAAACTAGTTATTAGCTATCTATTAAGGGGAGCCTTATGGTAACGTGGTACCGTTATTTTTATATTCATATATGCCATGAATCAAATTCAAAAATAGTCAGAGTTTAGATGTTTTACATGGATTAAAGCTTTAACAAGTTAAAGAAAATCGTATGTTAACTCTTCAACTGCTCATTTAAAGGCAAAAAGCTTCAGGTGGTGCGTTCACAGCACAGATCACGACAGGAGAAAAACAAACATAATCAAACATTTACATATTCCTTTAGTTTCCATCTCATTACAGCACATTTAAATAAACCACCATTTGAAGGGAAAATATACTTGACCAGTCTGAATGGCAGGCTAAATACAACTCTGAAACTGTTTGTCAAAATGTTGGATAGTAAAAACACAGCAATTAGGTTCTGAAGTGTGAAATCGAGTCTGAGACACAGACGAGCAATAAAATCTGTGCTGCAGGCGTCATACAACCCGACAATATAAATGTAAATAGATGCGTTCAGCAACACAGCAGCAGTCTGAGAGGTTAGAATTATCCCAGCTTTTCCTCATTACATCATTTCATTATGGCAGCACAACCTCATAAATCCACGCAGAAATTCAACACGTCGCCTCAGTCCAGGAGATTTGTGAAAAAAATTGAAATCATTTGGGTCAGATGTTAGTGGCTGGAATGTAAGATTACAGCCTTTGGTTGATCTAAGTCATTTTAGAGCTTAATTAATACGTTGGATTTTACCAACCATTTGATTGACGGTGGTTTTCGAGGAGAAAAGACGAGAAACGACTAATGGAAAATCTTTCACCTAGAGCTTCAAGCAAACTAATTTTCGTAGATTAAAAGCTCATTATAGCTTAGAAATTGATTTATCTATATTTTATAGTAAATTATTCATTGTACTTTTGATTTAGTCTCTTTAAAGCAGTTTCTTGTGTGGAAAAAAATCAAGCCTGCATACACTGGTTGTTTCATTTTTAACTTTATTTGAAGTTTTTTAAGTCTTATTGATCCATATATGATAAGTGACTGAAAACGTGATGTGGTTGCAAATGATGCAATAAAAAACAAAAGTTTGAATAAGACTTTTTGTTACTTCTTTTTCATAGACACAATTGTTCCAGAAACTAATTAATGTATCGCAGTTCATAAATTCCCGGTGTTGCGACTACCTCGACTGTGTAATCATCTAATTAAATGCAGAATTTAAACAGCACGATGACCTGCATAACAAATCCCCACTACTAATGCCACAGCATTGTTTACATACGCTGCTGTCCAGAAACAAATGTAAACCCGAGTCGTCGGTCTTACATTTCACACTCTAATAAAACAAAACTCAAAGTGTCTTCCTGCTTGAATTAACAAACCTCTGTGCACTTTTTTTTCTCTCGCTACAGTCAGCTCTGTCTCATTTGTATGCTCCCTTAAGAACACAATGCTCCCTCTACTGTCTTTTTTCCATGTCTTCTCCGCACAGAACTGCTAAAATGAACAAATGCAGCTTTGAAAATCTTATTGACTTTCAGATGCAAAAACACAACAGCGTGATCTGCGAGGTCGCATTCGGTGGAATTCACTGATATCTGGTCCCTGCAGATTGCTGTGCCATGCACATTAAACTCTGACTCACAAACGCTGCAATAAAGATGTGAAACGCAGATGCAGAAAGGTGTTTTTTTTTCTACAATGTGCAGCTTCAAATCACTCAATGCATAAAATCCCCTACTGCATAAATAGTGTATATTTTAAAGAGGGTTAAATAATTAAGTCATATAAGTTCTTGGATTATTTGTGTGTCAAGATGAGCAGAGAAGAGTCTGATTTTGTTTAGATTAAAGTAAATGAGAGATGAGAAAAAGGGAGAATTTGTGAGGCTTTGTTTAGATAAATTGTGACAGTCTTGGTGGGAGGATGAGAAATAATCAGCCAGACTCTAATAGGTTGATTTATTCACGCTTCATCCGCCAGTGCTAAATTTGAATTTAAGTAGGGAGCGCATTTGTTTGGAAATTGAGCTCAACTTTTCTATCAGATGTGTTGTGTGGGCTTTGGTTGCTCTAAAAATCCTTCACTCAACGCTCTCTTTTCTCAATTGGTGAAAGCAAAGATCCACTTTATGGGTTTCTATCCAACCATTCAGACAGATGAGCTGTTAGCTGTGCATAAACGACGACCTGCGACCGAAGATGACCACGAGCTGGAGTCCAGAGATCAGAGGAGAAAATGCTCAACAGGGGGTCGACTTTTCAGCTGCAGGTTGTTGTGGTTTGTTGGAAATGAGACCACCAATAGAGGGAGCTATTTCTGTTCCTATTGTCTGCAGCAGAGCCACCTGTTGTAAAGAGGCTTTGTCTGGGTGATGCATTTAAAATGTTTGAACATGACATTTTGCAGCAGCTTGTTGTAGTTTGCTGGTGAGCCGTGTCCTTCACTTGTGTGGGCGAGGACTTCTGTAACTGTAAGTGTGTGTTTTTACGCGCACTACTTACTCTCCACTGTGAGAGTGATGGGCTGGCTGGTTTTGTTCTCCCCATTCTTGTCGTTGACTGCCTGGGCGTAGTAGCGCCCTGCATCCGGGGCCACGGTGGACAGGATGACCAGCGTGTTGTCCAGGGTGATGGCGCTGATGACAAAAAACAAAATGCATCTTTTAAAAAAGCACATTTAAGTCCTTCATGTATTAAAAACGAATAATCTCAACTCTACTCCTACAACACTTACTGAACTGCAGCCTGCTAATAAGACTAACAAATCTTCAGAATGGGCCCCATGTCGAAATTAAGTCCACTCATTTGAGTTAGAATAAAACAGACATACGCAATCAACGGCTATATTCCAGAATTTATATGCAAAACTAACGACACTCTCACATAAACCCACATAGAGACCTATTCAGATCATTAAATTATGGATACTTGTTTCTTACAGTCAATAAGTCCTGGGGGTAAACTGACACGCCAGCATGCACATAAATTATATCTAAAATGCAGCACACAGATAATTTTATGAGCTCTTCCATCTACAATCTACCAAAGAACCACAAAGAAGTAGCTAAAACATTTGACCACTATTTTGCAAGCAGAGTTTTGTTTTTCTGTTATTTTCATTTGTAAACTAGAGACATAGAATTCCTTGAAACACTGCATATACTGACTTTCATGTCCGAATTTTAGACTAGGATCAGCTTATGTTGAGAAATAAAGCCTTTTTGGTCAAACCTTGAACATATTTTGTGCAGTCTTGTACAACATTGCACAATCTTGCGTGATCTGTTGCTTGGAGTATGTGTTGCACATGACTGACAGCTATATCACACTATATTCTAGCTCAATATCTGTAAAACTGACCAAGTTATGGCATTTTTTTTAAAGGTTGATTAGCAGTGATGGACACACTGAATTGAGCTGACTGCAAAGGTTAATCAGATGTACATTCAATGATTGCGTTTTGAAAGTTTTATTAAAATCTGTTCAATGATTCATGAGATATTTTGGAACGGCACACACAAATGAACACAGACTTGGGCTAAGGCATTTGTCTTTGACGCGTGTTAATAATAATAATCACTTTAAACACTTTGGGTTTTGCTGAAAGAAGTGGCTAGTTGTTTGATAGTTTGTCTGCAGATGCTAAGACAAAAGAACTAGTCCTGCGACACCACGGCACAAGTGATAATCCTGTTTGTCCTCAAGTAAGGATATAAAAACTGAGGGCAAGCAGATAAGATTTAACAAAATTACTTAAAATCACTATATTTTATCATCATTCTCATTATTGTTAGTAACTTGGAATATCTGTGTAGGTTGCACTTAAAGCTGTTTGTTTGAAATTAATTGCATTTACAGTAAGTTGATACTAAAATTCAGAAAATCAGTGTTTCAAAGCTGCACCTGGGTTTTTCTGTAAAATCGCCTCTGAAAAGTGACAATATCCTTTCCTGTTATGGTATTTCTGTGTTTGTGGGTTAACAGCCCCTGCGATGAGTGATGCTGGGAAAGCTGATAGTCCAAGATGTTTGTGAAGGGCCTATTAAATGAAAGTTGACGCTAAGCATGCGGCCCGATTAGGCTCCGTATATCTGCCACCATCTGTTTGATCGGTGTGGAATAAACACTTCTGAACAATTAGGAGCTGCAGCTCACAGACACTTAAGCAAACAGACAAACAAGAAAATACACACACGGACGCATACGCGCACACATGAATGTCAATGTGGCCTGACATGAAGCAAACGAGCACTAAATGCTGTGTCCTTTCAGTGCTTTACATCATTACAGAACAAACTTTCACTGCTTCACTGTAACAAAAAAGTCAGATGTGTAGTTAGCTTGCTGCTATATATATGTATATATGTATATATATATATATATATATATAATTCCTTTAGAGTTTGTGCTGTTGCTTCCTTCTTTTTGACTTTTTAAAAGTTTTTTTCTGAATAAAAAGAAAAAAAACAATCACCAATCCATATCTGAAGCAAAATCACGCACGCAGGGTGAAAGTCTTCATAACAGCAATGACATCGTACAGCTGGCTGCTGAATAATAAATGAGAAGGTGGTTTCTGAGGACTTGTGCACTGTCTACTTCTATTTGTCAGGAAGACAAAATTAATCTCAGGTGATTACCTTCACAGTGTCGCCTCAGGAAAACTGCATATCTAAACAGGCAGGGATCCGACAAACAAAAATAAAGCTACCACACACTGACTCACAGACTGAGAATAGCCCATGTAGACATGCAGTCACCTGATGAACTCCAGTTGTATACCTAACCCCAGACAGATTCAGATCCAGACAATGTGCACAACTGGATGGACACACACACACACACACACACACACAGTAGAACACACAAACTGAACTGGGGTGAGAGCTGTCACTCAATCATATCATCAATTGAAGCCTTTTGTTGAGTTTTGTCTAATTGGTTCCCCTGCTGCCAGATCCATCTCTACCCTTCAATCATTCCTTCTGTAAAGTCAATAGTGGGGATATAATAACCCGCTTTATCACTGAGAGGTAATTCAGTGATGAACGCAAGGCTAACACCAACATTCACTCATCAACCATTCTGCTAAACTTCACTCGTGGTGTGTGGGGCGGAATTGGAGAAAATCTGTGAGCAGTATCGAGCTACTTTGGTGTTCTCTAAAGTAAAAAAAAAAGATCCTTCATCAGATCAGAACAACTCCTATATGATTGCATTCACTCAGACAAGCACATGCACACACGGGTCAAACTCACCAACCCTTCGCTCAAACCTGAAAAAGCCAAGCTGGGGAGAAAGTAGACTTACATGCGGCTGCTTGAGGGAATCTTCCGCCCATCTCTGAACCAAGTGATCTGGGGCCTCGGGAAGCTGTGTATTCGTGGTGCATGGATGAGAGCTCCCTCGCCCTGGGATACAGTTTGAGATCTCTCCCCCTCCACAAAACCTCCCATATCTAGAAGACATAAAAAATAAATGAAGGAGAGGGAAAGCAGATCCTCAGAAAAAAAGAATGGTTTTAATCATTATTCTCTCTCTTTTCTAACTGATTTGCATAGTGTGCATCTATTCTTTAATTTGCCAGTTACATGCAAAAATCCCATCACTTACAGGCAACCTGCACTTCGGTGCTGCACTGCATTATAGCACCCACTCGGTTTCTCACGATGCAGCGGTAGTGGCCAGCATGCAGTCGGTCTAGCGTGGGGATCAGGTATCTAATGGTACATAAAAACACAAGTGCAATTGGTCATGACCAGTATGACAAACATTTTGTCATCTTGGTGCTGTTATATCACCCACGCTAAAGATGCTAAATTAATTGAGCCGCTTGCCTGGACACCTGAAACAGCTTAAATGGCATTCCACTTAAAAGGTAAACACTCAACTATAACAAAGCATGTGGGACTTGATGTAACACTGGATGGTAGACACAGAGCTGCAGGAAGGAGAGACTATTTTTTACACTAGCACAGCCAAGTACCTGACAGGCAGGACTCACAAAATCCTATTGTTATCCTGTATCTTCAGTCTGTTCAATCAAATCCTACGAGCACCTGTCACATGTTTCAGACAGCCACAGCTCTGTCTTCTCTCCTCTGACATACATTCATGTTAGATGGTGTGTGAAAAGCTAGCTAGATAGCCCAAACTCTCTGTCTGGAAATGGTTAGCCACAAAAGAGTTTGGCATTTACCACAGCCACGATTACCTACATTGCACTACATCTGCAATTCGGATGTGGGGAGGTTGGTGTGTGTGTGTGTGTGTGTGTGTGTGTGTGGGGGTGGGGGGGTTCTGATTAAATGGATTCCAGTTCTACTCTTTGATCAAGTATGGTGAAGAATAATAAGCAGAGGGCTGGCTTGTGAGACAGACCCAGAAACTAAGCCACGAAAAGACGAAGAGTGGGGGGTAGAAAGATGTATGAGGGAGTGAAAAGGGATGGGAGGGATGCTGGGTGAGTGTGTTTGTGTGATAGCAGTGATAACAATCACACAATCTCCCCTAAGACTGTTTGTCCATGTCTAGGGTTTTGGTCAGACTGTGAATAAAGTCCTGAAAATGCGTCTCGAACTGGATAGAAGGTGACTTTGACTGTGGATTTTCACTGTGACTTGCAGGGACACATGTACCGTATTTTTCACCCTATAAATTCGGGGGGGGGGGGGGGGGGTTGTATAATGTGCATGCCCTGCGACTTATAGGCCAAAGTGATGTTTTTATAGATGTTTTTCTCATATTTATAAACTATTTTTTGGCTGAGATATAACCGTTTCCATTCATTCTGGCCGATAATATTGAACACTACCATTTTCAGCCGCTAGATGGCACCAGACTAGTTTAGCATGCCGTTATGTCTTACAATAAGTAAAAGTGGCTATTAATGACACAGTCGGCTTGCCATAGACTGCCACCCACCATCTAGCTCACATGGAGCAACCGTCAAATCAGCTTCATTTCGCTGCGCCATCCCAGCAAAATGCAGCTAATTTGGCCATTGAAGTGCATTCATTAAAGAAAAGTTCAACTGAGACACACCTTTGCTATAATGTTAAGCAAACCAATAATTGTTTTATGTGCTTAGCTTGTTAAATTTCTAAGGAATGTGCAGTGTTCCTCCTTCATGATTTCCTCCCTCTGCGTGCTTCTGGAGCACCGAGGCAGCAAATACTTCTGAAATGCAGCTGATTTGACTGTTAAAGTCCTTTTATTAGGTACAAGTTCAACTGAAACACACCTTTACTATCAAGTTGAGCAAACAAATAATTGTTTTTAGGTGGTTATATTGTTAAATTTGCACAGCAACTTGTGTGTGCATGCGCTACTTCCGCGTATCGGCTTTTAAAATGCAGCTGATTTGATCATCAAAGTGCATTTATTAAGCAAAAGTTAGACTGAGACACACCTTTGCTATAATTTCAGCAAACAAATAATTGTTTTTGTGTTAATCTTGTTAAATTCTTGTTAAAGTCCTCCCTTGCATGCTCTAGCAGCCGCCATTTGGCAGCCAATCGATTTTTGGCACACCAGCCCACATTGCTGGATTGTCAGCGGTGACGCATAATAGATGCAATGTATACGGTGAAGCAATGTATTTATGGATTTTTCCACTTTATTAGACATATTTGGACTGATACGACTTATAGGGCGGTGTGACGTGTACGGCGGGAAATACGATAAGGCCCATGTTAGCACAGGCAGAAGCCACAAAGTACGCTATTAGAAAGAGCTCTCCTGCATTGTGTTAAGTAGATGAAATATGTAATATATCATGTCCAGGAGAACTCCGCCATCAATGAAACAACATCTTACCGCTTGTCGAGCAGAGAAGCACACCCACGCTGTACAAGACGATGAAAAGCACACACTGTGTTACTCTATTACAACAATGATAGTTTTGACAAAAAAAAAAAAAAAAGGCAAGAGAAGAGTGAAAAGCGCATTATCTGCTTACACCATCCTTGAATGTGGAACACACTTTGCAATACAAATCAGAATTAATCCGAAATTCCCCAAACGCAACAGGGAGATGTGCAGCCAAATCAGGGTTGAATAAATTCATGAAGAAGGAGTCTGGAAAATGAATAAAAATGAGCAATTGTGCTATTAGTTACAATTAAATGCTGTTAAAATGTCCTCCTGTGGTGAGATAATTACAGTTGATGAATAAAAGAAATGATAACAGAATCAGTTCTGGTATGCAAAGTTACACTCCTCACCTGTACTCCAGGGAAAAGCGGGTGAGCTCGGTCCCGTTGTAGATCCATTTGAATTCCAGGGGCCAGCTGCCCTCCGCCATGCAGGTCAGCACCAGGCGGTTTCCCTCCAGGTGAACCTGGGTCTGAGGAGGATCCATCTTAAAATATGGCGGGACATCATCTAATAGAAGAAAAAAGAGGAAAAGTGGAGGCAAAAATTAGTCATAAAAATGCCACAGGAAACAAAAGTGTGAATAAAGACTGAAAGTGAATCCATGAGTGTTTTAGTAAAAAAAAAAAAAAAAAAAAAAAAAGAGCTGTGATTCTGTAACTCATTTGAGAAGACTCACAACAATCTTAGCAGTTCACAGGAAATGAGAGTTTAGAACAAGCCATTTCCATTTTTTTCAGCACTTATTAGGAACTTGAAGGTCAACAGCAAATATTGCCCCAAAAAAGCAGATGGAATAAATTGCTACTGCAAACACATCTTACTCTTTTCTTTCAAATTGAAATGTGCTGGCAGAGAGGGGGAGAGCAATTTGTGCTGCAAAAATGTAGTTTAAATGAACACTTCCATACCTTTAAACTACTAAAAGGAGGACGGGGTGGAAGATGGAGAGAGGAGCGGGAACAGTCAAAGCAGATGGAGAAAAATACAACATTAAGAAAAAATGGAACGCAAGCAATTTAGACGAGGAGCAAGTAAGAAAGTAGGAAGCAATGGGAGGTGCTGGTGGAAGGGGTTGCTTTAGAAAACACAGTTTCACCTTCTTAAACCCCCATTCTTTGACAGGATGAGTTATGTTTTGAGCCTCCCTTCATTTATCTTTATAGTTCCCTAATGCAGCCAGATTATACAAGCCCCATCTGCAACACTGCACACAGCCAGTGCAGCCACAAAAAAAGCCTTTAAGGTGATGCACAAAGTCCAGAGCTGAGTTTCGAGACAAAGTGCTTTCATTTGAGCTGATGAAAAAGGCATGATCAGACCTATTGATCTGTCTGCCTCACCAGCCATAGGCGACACTGAGCCAATTGTGCCGATGTTTGTGGCGGGCTAATTAAAGTCTGTATTAATAGTTGCAGCAAGTCGCCAAAGCCTGAAGCACGGCTGGTTTTACGTCTGCCACGCCGGTTGATTCACGATCACGGCTGATCACTGGTGCCTTCCTTACTCTCCACACCTGTACACGAGTTCAAACGCAAGATTTATGAGATCAGATGCAGAGTGTGGTGTGGCAGAACAGGGTAAATGTGAGGGCAGTCCTATCGAGCAGGGAAGGGGACTCAGAAAATTGAACTGATTGAAATCATAAATAAAAGAATGGCAATGGAGCTCTGTGCTTTCCCATAGGCAGCCATGTGTGCAGAGTGTACATATGTCCCAGAACACATTCTAGTTTGGCAGTCTTTTAATCATACTACTCTAATTTTTTATATATAATATAATTCAACATCAATGGCTCTCATGGAACTAATAGAAGAGATAACAACTGCTGTGGATCAAAAACAGTATATGTGTTAGCGTTTGTTGATTTAAAAAAGGCCTTGGACACTACTGACCATACCATCCTCCTTGAAAAACGAAATAAATATGACATTACAGGATTGGCACTACAGTGGGTATTCAGTTATTTCAATAATAGGAGCAGTTTGTACAGGTAAACGATGGAAGATCTGAATTTTGTGTTAATGGATGTGGAGTCCCTCAAGGCTCTGTGTTGGGACCAACGTTGTTTATTTTGTATGTGAATGATCTGGTTGATGTGTCAGGGCTTTTGAAGTGTGTTTTATTTGCAGATGATACCACATTTTTTGTTCAGGTGAAGATATTGAACGGATGCTAGAGATGATACAGACAGAATTTGTAAAAATACAAACTTGGTTCCAACTTGATAAGTAATCATTAAATTTGGCAAAAACAAGCTACATGGTATTTAGTAATAGAAAGAAAATTGTCCAAGTCCCATTTAAAATTGACAGTACTGAAATTCATAGAGTTAATGACATTAAATTTTGAGGTGTCGTTATTGATGAGAAGCTGACATAGAAATCTCATGTAAATTACTTAAAATTAAAAATAACAAAATCAACTGCATTACTGTATAAAGTAGAAGAGTTTTTGAATGACATCGCTTTGTATATATATATATATATATATATATATATATATATATATTGCATAACGTAATGATTGTTCCATATTTAATCTATTGTATTCAAGTTTGGGGAAAAGTATGCAAAACAATTATAAATTCTATTTTTATTTTACCAAAAAGAGCTATAAGAATTATTAGTAGGAAGTGCTATGGCATACTATTTCATCAATTGAAATTATTAAAATTTTATTATTTGGTTGAATATAGTATTTTATAAGTCATGTATAAAGCTCATAAAAAATATTACCCCCAAATATTCAATTAAAATTTGTTGTTCTTTTAAATGAATGAAAAAATGAATAAATAAAAAATACTACTCGAAAAAATGACATTTAATTCAACAAGCAGTCTGTTTAATTTAATTTTTTTTGTTTAACACTCCACTTTTTGGCTCATTTGCTCTGCCTATCACCCTTCAATCAATGTCTCGAAAACAAACACTTTCAAAACCAAAAGGCAACTGATCTCGGCTGAGCTCAGTAAGGGAGCCATCACTATTTTATTTTTTTTCTTTCTCCATGCCCAGGCTGCTGGAGTGGTGGCTCCGCTGTAATTCCATCCACCAGAAAATGCATTTGCACTTGACACACACACACACCAAATCCAAAACATTCACTTATGGCTGAACAAACACGCATAAAGCAACATGAGACCACTTCTAGCTGAATCAGGGGCTTGGTGGCTGTGTGCACTTAGCGTTGCCACACCATCAACCAGGCCACCATTAGGAACCTACACACGCAACATCTAGACTCACACATCAATTTTCTATGCTGTTGATTGTGTTTATTTATTTATATTTTGTTATTGTCTTCATATTTCATCACGTTTTCTCTGTTTTATTGCTACGATTCATCATGTTTAATTTCTCAGCATCTCCCTGTGTCATCAGTCATTTTTCCATCAGTCATCCTCGTCCTCTGTTAACCATCGTGTTCATTAGTCTCAGGTGTTACCAGTAGTAACCATCCCTCCCAGCCTACCTATACTCCTGATTCTATTTTGTTCATCAGTCCATCCTGTTACACTAGTTGGACCTTGCTTGCATCTTGTTGATTTGATCGCAGGTCTTGTTTTATTGCTGCCCTGTCGGCTAATATATATTTTTAATTAAAGTTCAGGTTTTGTCTTTAGTCTTTGTGCTTCAGTCTGGGTCCATCCTGAAACAATCCTTGACAGTCTGAGGTTAGGAACATGCATGATATTGACTTACTGATGTGAAATTGTGGAATGGGGAATTGAGTGCACTCTAATCTCCTCTGTGATTACCTGGTATGCTCATGTGATCACATTCCTTGCTGGCTCAAATGACCCATCAAAATGAAATCTGATAATAAATCTCTGCGCGTGACTTGTGTGTGACAATGGCGGCCAGTTTTACATTTAGAGTGAGGAGAAAGTTTCTAAAAGCAAACGCCGCTAACGAGAGAGAAAAGTCAATGTTTAAATTAATCAAGAGCTCAAACTCTGATCCCAATTTTTTTTTGCCAAGAAGCACTGACCTAAAAAAAAAAAAAAAAAAAAACTTAAAAAAAAAAAAAACCTCCCTTCTGTGTAACCATTTCATGCGAACTTTTCTTTAAACGTAGAGAATCTTAATGACAGACCGTCAACACACCTTCTGTAACAAGACGGGACTAAATCTTTTGCACTGGCCTCCCTAAACTAACGCGTTTCCAAAGAAAAAAAACTCTTCTGGCCCAGATTCTCTCCTTCCTCACTGTGTTTTGTGATAGTCAAGGTAAACTCAAACTTGCTTACAACAAATTTGTGTCTGTAAAACATACTGCATGTGCTCTAAAGTGGCAGGATTATTTTCCTTCTCTGAGTAAGCCAAGGTAGACGAATACATAATGTAAAAATATGCACTGTGCATGTGTATGTCAAGGTTGGAAGCTGTGTCTATTTTTGCTTATGCAGATGTGAACTTTTACATGCATCGGGCTTGTACAGCGGTACAAAGCTCTGGCAATTTACACAGAATGATGCACCATAAACTGCTCTTCTGTTGTTACTAATGTATTGGGATGTTCTCCACTGTGGTATTATCATCAGCTGACATAATCCAACATTTGTTTCAGTTGTCATTTCCTCCAAGTGCACAGTGGTTTCTTCAAATAAAAGTCTATGTACACCACTTGTGTTTTCTTTCAGGCATGCAATTACACATTTTACAAATGAACAGCAATGTGTGTTTATCTCATTACAGCTGGTTGGCTGCACTGAATCAAGGTAAAGCTGGCATTTATTCTAAAAAGACAGCAGTGGAGGTAGGATAAAAAGAAAGCACACGTGCAGGGAAGAAATATTGCATCCTCCATTCCAGTGTAGAATGCAGAGGCTGCACTGGTTTGGCAGGTACATGGCAGCACCTGCTGCAGGCTTCACATCCAGATGGAAAGCTAGAGAGCAGTCCCTCTTGAGTAGAAGCTCCTCCAGCACACCGACCGCAGATAAAAGCCGAATGGAGTCAGCAGATCTTGGGAAGACCAAAAACTGGTATGGGAGGACCAGGAGGGCTTTTTATGTGGCTGCTGTGCAGAGCAGCTGCCCTCAACAGCCAGTCTGCAGCACCACAGCCCATTCACCACATACATAAAAACACCTTATTCTAACCTGACAGCTGAGGTTGAATGGTGGCACGACTCCAGTCGGGTCCCCTGCTGCATGTACAGAATTTTAATGGCTGCGAGACAAAGACCACAGGCACCAGGGCAGTTTTATATACCAAAGCCCATTGTGTGCTGCGTTGCACCATGCTGGCATGCAATCACACAGACGGTGTTCACATTCGGCTTTTGTCTTGTATTTTTTTCCTCTTGCTTATTTTGCGCCTCACCTCCTAACCTCAGCTCTACTCCAGCAGCAGGGAGCTCTTCGCCCCCTCTGTTTAATCCTCGGGTACCTGCGTTTCAGTTTGTGTAACTACATCCTTGCTGGCACTTGGCACTGTGGGACTGAGATTCAGCAATAGTGGATGGTGGAGCAACATATTGTTGAAATATTTGGAGTTCTCTTG